CTACTGTATGGATGTGTCATGGCAACTATGTACACAACACTACTGTATGGATGTGTCATGGCAACAATGTACACAACACTAATGTGTCATGGCAACTATGTACACAACACTACTGTATGGATGTGTCATGGCAACTATGTACACAACACTAATGTGTGGATGTGTCAAGGTAACTATGTACACAACACTACTGTATGGATGTGTCATGGCAACTATGTACACAACACTAATGTGTGGATGTGTCAAGGTAACTATGTACCAGTACAACATTGGCTGAACCTGTCACTAAGTACAACATTGACTGAACCTGTCACTAAGTACAACATTGACTGAACGTGTCACAAAGTACAACATTGGCTGAACCTGTCACTAAGTACAACATTGGCTGAACGTGTCACTAAGTACAACATTGACTGAACCTGTCACTAAGTACAACATTGGCTGAACCTGTCACTAAGTACAACATTGACTGAACGTGTCACAAAGTACAACATTGACTGAACCTGTCACTAAGTACAACATTGGCTGAACGTGTCACTAAGTACAACATTGACTGAACCCGTCACTAAGTACAACATTGGCACATGTTTTTCATGTTAATTTTATTAAAATCATTGCCATTATGAAAACATATAGATACAAGTATTGACTATAAATGTTTGAGAAATATCCAGTCTTTCTTCTGTGTATCAGAGAGGTGTAACTTTACATGTAGTATTCATTGGGAGGAAGTGTCCCTGGTGCAAGGCTCGGCACTGGGTCAGTATGCATGAATTGTGTCCTTGTTAAGATATCAAGATGAATTGTCTTGTATTTACTGAAGATGGAGATTCAGGGGGGATTTGTTTAAATTGTTTGATAGACATTACTTAAAAGTTGACGGATGACAAAGTAGACACAATTTATGGACAACAACGTCTTTATTTACTGTAGAGGCAACGTTTTGGTATAGATCCTAATTATACCATTGTCAAGCTAGATTGACAATGGTAGGATCTATACCGAAATGGTGCCTTTACAGTAAATAAAGAAGTTGTTATCCATAAATTGTGTCTGGTTTGGGATTTGTTTTGTCTCCAAAATTCAAGAGATGCTCAGGGCTCCTTACTTTTAAATATCCAAAGACACTATAAGAATAACGAAAACCTTAAGTGAATGCTACTCTAGCCATGGCCCTGTTCTCCGTGTAATCGGTGGCACTCGGGGGAATCCATGTCTTGTGATCAGAAGGCAACACTAAAATTGAAGGTAACATCCTCGAGGATCTGTAGCAGACCTCCGAATTATTCAAATATTCTCTAATGGAATATAAAGGTGGTATCTCTCATCCAGCTGATGTGATTAAAGGCCCCGTGACAGAATCACACAGGATGATATTGTCGTTATCTCCCGGCGCTGGGCTCGGTGTCCCTTTGCTGGAGTCGTCACATCACTTGTGAAGCTGGTTAGAATATCTTGATTGTCAGGGGAATATACACAGACACATAAGTCCCATCTGTTCAGAATTTGATAGCAATGTGTTTATGATGGTAGTTGGACAAGATAATTGAGGAATGCAGGAAACACATAACAACTCTGCTGCTCGGGATGTCAAATATGTCTGATGGGTGATTTAGCTTCATATATTGTGTCACTGCCGTAGGGATCGCATAGGATGCTTTTTTGACAACTGTGCAGTTTGGAGATAAAGAATCATGTCATAAAATAAGAGTTAAATTCAGCATTTACACTGGTACCACCCGATACTGAAGATGTAATTAGTTTTAGAATAAAATATGTGTTTGATAAGGCAGCTACATTATTTTTAATGAAAAACAGAGAAAGTTTGTGTTTGTAATCTGCATGATTATCATAAAGTGTCAGTTTTCCAGTTTTACAAAGTAAGTGCGTAAATGGTTTATGTAAAAGTTGGATTGAAGGCGGAACCTACACTTGTTGATGAGCCATGGGGTAATAAAGACTAGGTTCTTGTTTCTGCTGTAAAGAGGATGCTATTACCCAAGATTTATTTTATGATGATTTGCCTGAAGTTGGTTTGGTCTTCAGCGTCTCCCCGTGTTGATGTTGAGTGCTGTTGCAGCCGCTGCCTGCTGGGAGCAGCTGATACTGCATGTGGTGCCCTCATCACCAAGGCCAAAACAGACTTCATTTATTTTCTTGTATCTTTCACTTTTTACATGTTTTTGTTCCTGCTCTGATTTTGTTGAGGATTTTACCCCAACATTGAACTGAATGAACTACAATTCCTGTGAATGAACATTTAATACAAAAATGACAACATACCAAAGAAAGACAACATTTTCCAGTATTCCTGTTGACATCTGAATATTTGGGTTAGAATTGGTCTTCAGCAACCCATGCTTGTCATAAGAGGTGACCATGCTTGTCATGAGAGGTGACTATGCTTGTCATAAGAGGTGACTATGCTTGTCATAAGAGGTGACTATGCTTGTTGTAAAAGGCGACTAACGAGGTCGGGTGATCAAGCTCGGTAACTTGTTTGATGCAAGTAACCAAAATGCTTAGATCGATGCTCATGACGTCAATCACTGGATTGGCTGCTCCAGACTTAATTCTTTACAGACCACTGTCATTAGCTGGAACATTCCTGAGTGTGGCGTTAAACAACAAGGAAACAAAGAAAGTATTTCTTTCTATCAGAGAGAGTGAGTTCGCTAGTGAATGTTGTTCAGTATACCGCTATTGGGGTCGGGAAGCACATCGGGAGCCTGACCACCAGAGACCAAGTCTAACCCACACGGTATCATCATCAGACAACATGTGCTGTCGTTGTTCTGACCCAGACTGTCCTCCTGACAGGTGCACGTTATTCCCAGGAGTTTGCAGCTGTGATGCTGGTGAATGTTCCTGGTGAATGTTCCTGGTGAATGTTCCTGGTCTTTCATCTTCACAGGCTGAAGCTGCTGATAGGGGCAGCGGTGGAAATTCTCCCTGAAGATAGGAAATTGTCTCCATGCCTGCTTGGCACCTGTGGTGGTGATAATATCCACAGCATGATGTGCCCCACTCTGATGTCTCTCCCACCAGATGAATCCACAGGTCTGGGCACATGATGGCACAAAGCTAAATATCAGAATAAAAAGAAACTTGTGATGAAAAATTAGATATAATGTGCAAGGTTTGTTGTAACATTAGATACAAGCCGCAGGTTTGTTGAAACATTAAATACAAGCCGCAGGTTTGTTAAAAGATAAGATACAAGCCACAGATTTGTTGAAACATTAGATACAACCTACAGGTTTGTTGAAACATTAGATACAAGCCGCAGGTTTGTTAAAAGATAAGATACAAGCCACAGGTTTGTTGAAACATTAGATACAACCTGCAGGTTTGTTGAAACATTAGATACAACCTGCAGGTTTTTTTGAAACATTAGATACCAGCCGCAGGTTTGTTGAAACATTAGATACAACCTGCAGGTTTGTTGAAACATTAGATACAAGCCGCAGGTTTGTTGAAACATTAGATACAACCTGCAGGTTTGTTGAAACATTAGATACAACCTGCAGGTTTGTTGAAACATTAGATACAACCCACAGGTTTGTTGAAACATTAGATACAACCCACAGGTTTGTTGAAACATTAGATACAAGCCGCAGGTTTGTTGAAACATTAGATACCACCTACAGGTTTGTTGAAACATTAGATACAACCTGCAGGTTTGTTGAAACATTAGATACAACCCGCAGGTTTGTTGAAACATTAGATACAATCTGCAGGTTTGTTGAAACATTAGATACAACCTACAGGTTTGTTGAAACATTAGATACAACCTGCAGGTTTGTTGAAACATTAGATACAAGCCGCAGGTTTGTTGAAACATTAGATACAATCTGCAGGTTTGTTGAAACATTAGATACAAGCCGCAGGTTTGTTGAAACATTAGATACAAGCCGCAGGTTTGTTGAAACATTAGATACAACCTGCAGGTTTGTTGAAACATTAGATATAACCCACAGGTTTGTTGAAACATTAGATACAACCTGCAGGTTTGTTGAAACATTAGATACAAGCCGCAGGTTTGTTGAAACATTAGATACAATCTGCAGGTTTGTTGAAACATTAGATACAACCTACAGGTTTGTTGAAACATTAGATACAACCTGCAGGTTTGTTGAAACATTAGATACAACCTGCAGGTTTGTTGAAACATTAGATACAAGCCGCAGGTTTGTTGAAACATTAGATACAACCTGCAGGTTTGTTGAAACATTAGATACAAGCCGCAGGTTTGTTGAAACATTAGATACAAGCCGCAGGTTTGTTGAAACATTAGATACAAGCCGCAGGTTTGTTGAAACATTAGATACAACCTGCAGGTTTGTTGAAACATTAGATACAAGCCGCAGGTTTGTTGAAACATTAGATACAACCTGCTGGTTTGTTATAACATTAGATACCAGCCGCAGGTTTGTTGAAACATTAGATACAAGCCGCAGGTTTGTTTTTGGCACAAAGCTAAATATCAGAATAAAAAGAAACTTGTGATGAAAAATTAGATATAATGTGCAAGGTTTGTTGTAACATTAGATACAAGCCGCAGGTTTGTTGAAACATTAGATACAAGCCGCAGGTTTGTTAAAAGATAAGATACAAGCCACAGATTTGTTGAAACATTAGATACAACCTACAGGTTTGTTGAAACATTAGATACAAGCCGCAGGTTTGTTAAAAGATAAGATACAAGCCACAGGTTTGTTGAAACATTAGATACAACCTGCAGGTTTGTTGAAACATTAGATACAACCTGCAGGATTTTTTGAAACATTAGATACCAGCCGCAGGTTTGTTGAAACATTAGATACAACCTGCAGGTTTGTTGAAACATTAGATACAAGCCGCAGGTTTGTTGAAACATTAGATACAACCTGCAGGTTTGTTAAAAGATAAGATAGAACCTGCGGCTTGAGATTGAGTTACATGAAGGAAGAAAGTTCTTAACTAAACCAGGATTAACAAACCACCCATCTTGTTCCCAGAATCTCCGCCAATGTCTCCCACCACCTGGATCGCCCCCGGCATCGCATTCTCAGCATCTGCCATCTTGATCATTGGGACCATCATCGCCTACCTCTGGCACCGGAAATACAGGTAGTACATGGTAGTACATGGTAGTACATGGTAGTACCTTTAGTCAGGGTGATACAGGTAGTACATCCTTTAGTCAGGGTGATACAGGTAGTACATGCTTTAGTCAGGGTGATACAGGTACAACATGCTTTAGTCAGGGTGATACAGGTAGTACATCCTTTAGTCAGGGTGATACAGGTAGTACATGCTTTAGTCAGGGAGATACAGGTACTACATGCTTTAGTCAGGGTGATACAGGTAGTACATCCTTTAGTCAGGGTGATACAGGTACTACATGCTTTAGTCAGGGTGATACAAGTAGTACATCCTTTAGTCAGGGTGATACAGGTAGTACATGCTTTAGTCAGGGAGATACAGGTAGTACATGCTTTAGTCAGGGAGATACAGGTACTACATGCTTTAGTCAGGGTGATACAGGTACAACATGCTTTAGTCAGGGTGATACAGGTACTACATGCTTTAGTCAGGGTGATACAGGTAGTACATCCTTTAGTCAGGGTGATACAGGTAGTACATGCTTTAGTCAGGGTGATACAGGTAGTACATCCTTTAGTCAGGGTGATACAGGTAGTACATGCTTTAGTCAGGGTGATACAGGTAGTACATCCTTTAGTCAGGGTGATACAGGTAGTACATCCTTTAGTCAGGGTGATACAGGTACTACATGCTTTAGTCAGGGTGATACAGGTAGTACATCCTTTAGTCAGGGTGATACAGGTAGTACATGCTTTAGTCAGGGTGATACAGGTACTACATCCTTTAGTCAGGGTGATACAGGTACTACATCCTTTAGTCAGGGTGATACAGGTAGTACATGCTTTAGTCAGGGTGATACAGGTACAACATGCTTTAGTCAGGGTGATACAGGTACAACATGCTTTAGTCAGGGTGATACAGGTACAACATGCTTTAGTCAGGGTGATACAGGTAGTACATGCTTTAGTCAGGGTGATACGGGTAGTACATCCTTTAGTCAGGGTGATACGGGTAGTACATGCTTTAGTCAGGGTGATACGGGTAGTACATGCTTTAGTCAGGGTGATACAGGTAGTACATGCTTTAGTCAGGGTGATACAGGTAGTACATCCTTTAGTCAGGGTGATACAGGTACTACATCCTTTAGTCAGGGTGATACAGGTAGTACATCCTTTAGTCAGGGTGATACAGGTACAACATGCTTTAGTCAGGGTGATACAGGTACAACATGCTTTAGTCAGGGTGATACAGGTACAACATGCTTTAGTCAGGGTGATACAGGTACAACATCCTTTAGTCAGGGTGATACAGGTAGTACATCCTTTAGTCAGGGTGATACAGGTACAACATGCTTTAGTCAGGGTGATACAGGTACAACATGCTTTAGTCAGGGTGATACAGGTAGTACATCCTTTAGTCAGGGTGATACAGGTAGTACATGCTTCAGTCAGGGTGATACAGGTACTACATACTTCAGTCAGGGTGATACAGGTACTACATGCTTTACTCAGGGTGATACAGGTAGTACATCCTTTAGTCAGGGTGATACAGGTAGTACATCCTTTAGTCAGGGTGATACAGGTACAACATGCTTTACTCAGGGTGATACAGGTAGTACATCCTTTAGTCAGGGTGATACAGGTAGTACATCCTTTAGTCAGGGTGATACAGGTACTACATGCTTTAGTCAGGGTGATACAGGTACTACATGCTTTAGTCAGGGTGATACAGGTACTACATGCTTTAGTCAGGGTGATACAGGTAGTACATGCTTTAGTCAGGGTGATACAGGTACAACATGCTTTGGTCAGGGTGATACAGGTACAACATGCTTTAGTCAGGGTGATACAGGTACAACATGCTTTAGTCAGGGTGATACAGGTACAACATGCTTTAGTCAGGGTGATACAGGTAGTACATGCTTTAGTCAGGGTGATACGGGTAGTACATCCTTTAGTCAGGGTGATACGGGTAGTACATGCTTTAGTCAGGGTGATACGGGTAGTACATGCTTTAGTCAGGGTGATACAGGTAGTACATGCTTTAGTCAGGGTGATACGGGTACTACATACTTCAGTCAGGGTGATACAGGTAGTACATCCTTTAGTCAGGGTGATACAGGTACAACATGCTTTAGTCAGGGTGATACAGGTACAACATGCTTTAGTCAGGGTGATACAGGTAGTACATCCTTTAGTCAGGGTGATACAGGTACAACATGCTTTAGTCAGGGTGATACAGGTAGTACATGCTTTAGTCAGGGTGATACAGGTACTACATGCTTCAGTCAGGGTGATACAGGTAGTACATCCTTTAGTCAGGGTGATACAGGTACAACATGCTTTAGTCAGGGTGATACAGGTAGTACATCCTTTAGTCAGGGTGATACAGGTACTACATCCTTTAGTCAGGGAGATACAGGTAGTACATGCTTTAGTCAGGGTGATACGGGTAGTACATGCTTTAGTCAGGGTGATACAGGTAGTACATGCTTTAGTCAGGGTGATACGGGTACAACATGCTTTAGTCAGGGTGATACGGGTACTACATACTTCAGTCAGGGTGATACAGGTAGTACATCCTTTAGTCAGGGTGATACAGGTACAACATGCTTTAGTCAGGGTGATACAGGTACTACATGCTTTAGTCAGGGTGATACAGGTAGTACATCCTTTAGTCAGGGTGATACAGGTACAACATGCTTTAGTCAGGGTGATACAGGTAGTACATCCTTTAGTCAGGGTGATACAGGTACAACATGCTTTAGTCAGGGTGATACAGGTAGTACATGCTTTAGTCAGGGTGATACACGTACAACATCCTTTAGTCAGGGTGATACAGGTAGTACATCCTTTAGTCAGGGTGATACAGGTAGTACATCCTTTAGTCAGGGTGATACAGGTAGTACATGCTTTAGTCAGGGTGATACAGATAGTACATGCTTTAGTCAGGGTGATACAGGTAGTACATCCTTTAGTCAGGGTGATACAGGTACAACATGCTTTAGTCAGGGTGATACAGGTAGTACATGCTTTAGTCAGGGTGATACACGTACAACATCCTTTAGTCAGGGTGATACAGGTAGTACATCCTTTAGTCAGGGTGATACAGGTAGTACATCCTTTAGTCAGGGTGATACAGGTAGTACATGCTTTAGTCAGGGTGATACAGATAGTACATGCTTTAGTCAGGGTGATACAGGTAGTACATCCTTCAGTCAGGGTGATACAGGTAGTTCATGCTTTAGTCAGGGTGATACAGGTAGTACATGCTTTAGTCAGGGTGATACAGATAGTACATGCTTTAGTCAGGGTGATACAGGTAGTACATGCTTTAGTCAGGGTGATACAGATAGTACATGCTTTAGTCAGGGTGATACAGGTAGTACATCCTTCAGTCAGGGTGATACAGATAGTACATGCTTTAGTCAGGGTGATACAGGTAGTACATCCTTCAGTCAGGGTGATACAGGTAGTACATGCTTTAGTCAGGGTGATACAGATAGTACATGCTTTAGTCAGGGTGATACAGGTAGTACATCCTTCAGTCAGGGTGATACAGGTAGTACATGCTTCAGTGTAGTCCAGGAGGTATGATACCTGTGATCTGAAAGGGTAGGGGTATATAGGAATACCAAGGACTTCTGTCCATTTGTCCAGCCGCCCTTCCTTCCATGCGTAAACATTTGTGTGACCTATAACCATGATAACTTGAGAACCAATTCATTTCTTCTTTTCAAATGTAAGGAACACTTTCTATACTAGTAGGAGAGGTGAAGTGCAAAGTTTGATTTTGATTTGTGTAGTTTCTGAAAAAATATGAAGTCGGGGTTATCAGTGAGCCCCGCCCACTTCTTGCTACATGCCTCCATGGTCTTCTCCCTCATGTGTTTGTTGTTTAACACAGCACTCAGCAATATTCCAGCTATATGATGGTGGCTTGTAAATAATCGGGTCTGGACCAGACAATCCAGTGATTGACATCATGAGCATCGATCCATGCAAATGGCATACAGTGAGAAGCATCAACCAAGTCAGCGAGCCTGACCACCTGATCCTGTTAGTCGACTCTTACGACAAGCATTGATTGCTGGAGTACTATTCTACCCCAGAATCGACAGAGGTCGTATTCTAACAGAATGCAATACTATATCTGAATACTGTGTAAGATTTGTTTGTTTGTTGTTTAAAGCCGCACTCTAAATATTACAGCTGTATGATGGTGGTTTGTAAATAATCAAGTCTGGACCAGACAACCGAGTGATTGACATCATGAACATCAATCCACGCGATTGGGATACAATGACATGCTATCAACAAAATCACCAAGCCTGACCACCCAATCTGTTTAGCCTCCTCTTATGACAGTCAGGTAGCTGGGATCAGTATTCTTGCCTGGAATCCCCACGGGGCCTCCTCCCTCAAGCACCAGGTGTTTAGTGCAGTCTTGTACTTCCACCATCGTAAGGTAATGAACCTGTCCTAGAAGAAGCACTCAGCCGGACGTTCCAGATCGGGGTGGGCCTGGACGCTCAAGGGAGAGAGGTAGCACCAGTGCCAGGCAACGGGTGACAGTTACATCCAGTTACAACCAGTTACAACGACGTACTTGTGCCATCTCTCCCTCCACCTTCTGTTCTTTGACAGTTATTGAGTGAGTGAGTGAGTGAGTGAGTGAACGCTTTAACCACTAGGCTACCCGACCGCCCCGGACAGTTAGTAATGAAGGATGATGTATGGTCGCCTTGAATGATTAAAATAGTCAAGTCGGTCAAGAACAATTTCTTTCGTTCTATGGCCCACGCCTCCTCCTCCACCGTCTGCAGCCTTCTTTAACTGAAAAAATTTGATTGAGAATATGTTTATTTTGAGCATGTTTTTTTTTACGTATTTTTTTCAAGTGTTCTTTTTTCAGGAAATCAACCTTGTTTTATTTAAGTTTTACATTTTTACCTTTAAACCACAACATTATGTTAATGAAGAAAACCCTGTGCTGGCCTGATCTGATATGTCAATTATTGTAATCTAATCCCACTGTGTGTGTTTGTCTGTAGGAACAAGTACACCGTGGACAGTCTGCGATACCACAGCTACAAGAACGGCCAAGGCACCACCACGCCCCCTGACCACGCCCACAAGGTGGAGAGCTACTCTGTGACAGTCATCAGCACCGGGAAGGTGGTTGATATCGTCGAGTGCGGTGAACATGAGACACATCTAGACTCAGACGAAGGCATGAAGGTGGATGTGATTAGTGAACCAGATATTACATCAGAGCACGACAAGTTGGATGTGACTTCCAGCCCCGATCTGTCTCCGGACCAGGACTACTCCAGCTTCGTGCTGCCAAATGTTGTGCCATACCAAGACATGTTCCCTTATGGTGACCTCAGCCCGCAGGGGGGGTCACGTGACCCTCTCAAAGACGGTAAGGGAGTTGGCAGGAGTGAGAGTAGCGAGCCCATCCGTCCCACTGGACGGGTGTATGAGGTCGGGTATGTTAACCCAGCGTATGATGGTAATGACAGTCTAAAGGAAGGACGCTCACCAAAGAAGAAAAAAAAGAAACCTCGGATGTTTTTCAGTGATAGGAAGGCATCCAACAAACAAATGAAGTATTAGGAGAACTTGATGCAAACACTGAACTGAGCGGTTTGATATTGAGCTGTGTGGAGATCTTGTGCGGCATTACACAGGTGTACAGGCTAACGATGTACCTGTGTATTCAGGTGTACAGAGAGGCTAATGATGTACCTGTGTATACAGGTGTACAGGGAGAGGCTAACGATGTGCCTATGTATGGAGGTATACAGGGAGAGGCTAACGATGTACCTATGTATACAGGTGTACAGGGAGAGGCTAACGATGTACCTATGTATACAGGTGTACAGGGAGAGGCTAACGATGTACCTATGTATACAGGTGTACAGGGAGAGGCTAACGATGTACCTATGTATACAGGTGTACAGGGAGAGGCTAACGATGTACCTGTGTATACAGGTTTACAGGGAGAGGCTAACGATGTACCTATGTATACAGGTGTACAGGGAGAGGCTAACGATGTACCTGTGTATACAGGTTTACAGGGAGAGGCTAACGATGTACCTATGTATACAGGTTTACAGGGAGAGGCTAACGATGTACCTATGTATACAGGTGTACAGGGAGAGGCTAACGATGTACCTATGTATACAGGTTTACAGGGAGAGGCTAACGATGTACCTATGTATACAGGGAGAGGCTAACGATGTACCTGTGTATACAGGTGTACAGGGAGAGGCTAACGATGTACCTGTGTATGGAGGTATACAGGGAGAGGCTAACGATGTACCTGTGTATGGAGGTTTACAGGGAGAGGCCAACGATGTACCTATGTATACAGGTGTACAGGGAGAGGCTAACGATGTACCTATGTATACAGGGAGAGGCTAACGATGTACCTGTGTATACAGGTGTACAGAGAGGCTAACGATGTACCTATGTATACAGGTGTACAGGGAGAGGCTAACGATGTACCTGTGTATACAGGTTTACAGGGAGAGGCTAACGATGTACCTATGTATACAGGGAGAGGCTAACGATGTACCTGTGTATACAGGTGTACAGGGAGAGGCTAACGATGTACCTATGTATACAGGGAGAGGCTAACGATGTACCTGTGTATACAGGTGTATAGAGAGGCTAACGATGTACCTATGTATACAGGTGTACAGGGAGAGGCTAACGATGTACCTGTGTATACAGGTGTACAGGGAGAGGCTAACAATGTACCTATGTATACAGGGAGAGGCTAACGATGTACCTGTGTATACAGGTGTACAGAGAGGCTAACGATGTACCTATGTATACAGGTGTACAGGGAGAGGCTAACGATGTACCTGTGTATACAGGTTTACAGGGAGAGGCTAACGATGTACCTATGTATACAGGGAGAGGCTAACGATGTACCTGTGTATACAGGTGTACAGGGAGAGGCTAACGATGTACCTATGTATACAGGAAGAGGCTAACGATGTACCTGTGTATACAGGTGTACAGGGAGAGGCTAACGATGTACCTGTGTATACAGGTGTACAGGGAGAGGCTAACGATGTACCTATGTATACAGGGAGAGGCTAACGATGTACCTGTGTATACAGGTGTACAGGGAGAGGCTAACGATGTACCTATGTATACAGGGAGAGGCTAACGATGTACCTGTGTATACAGGTGTACAGAGAGGCTAACGATGTACCTATGTATACAGGTGTACAGGGAGAGGCTAACGATGTACCTGTGTATACAGGTTTACAGGGAGAGGCTAACGATGTACCTATGTATACAGGGAGAGGCTAACGATGTACCTGTGTATACAGGTGTACAGGGAGAGGCTAACGATGTACCTATGTATACAGGGAGAGGCTAACGATGTACCTGTGTATACAGGTGTACAGGGAGAGGCTAACGATGTACCTGTGTATACAGGTGTACAGGGAGAGGCTAATCATAACCTATATATCTGCAGGTCTATAATTACATATATTATATATTGCCACTGTACAGCGTTGTAAGCAAGAAATCCTGAAATATTTGGTTCCCAGATTTGAAGTGGGTAAGAAAGTTTTTTTCGGTTGATGCAGTATCCGAAGCCTGTACACATCCTCACCGTCGATTCAGCCATTCCTGAAGCTGATTCAGACTCTGTATCTTTCAGACTTTTTCATGTCTAGTCAGCACAGGTGTCTGTTGTACAATCTTGTGTCATTGCATCTAAATTTACAATATTTTTTAATATGAAAGTCTTCCACATTTGTTTTGTACAATTTACATATTCACCATTCTTCCAGAAATTATGAAACTTATTCTTAACTGTTTATAAAGTCTTCCAAGTTGATCCTGACAGGATCCATGTACACAGGATCTGTGTGTGAGATCTGGGTACAGGATCAGGTCAAGACAAGATCTATGTCTGTAGACAGGATCCGTGTGTGCGAGACCTTGGTACAGGATCAGGTCAAGACAAGATCTATGTCTGTAGACAGGATCCGTGTGTGCGAGACCTTGGTACAGTACCAGGTGAAGACAAGATCCATGTCTGTACACAGGATCCGTGTGTGCGAGACCTTGGTACAGGACCAGGTCAAGACAAGATCCATGTCTGTACACAGCATCCGTGTGTGCGACACCTTGGTACAGGACCAGGTCAAGACAAGATCCATGTCTGTAGACAGGATCCGTGTGTGCGAGACCTTGGTACAGGACCAGGTCAAGACAAGATCCATGTCTGTAGACAGGATCCGTGTGTGCGAGACCTTGGTACTGTATCTCTCCGCCTCATGGAGGGAACCCAGCCTTCGGCTGAGCAGCCTTCTCTTCTCTTGACCACACAAACTCAACTCGTAACTGTATTACGTTTATAGAATTTCTGTCATTGCACCATACATTCTACTGAAGTTACCACTGTAAGAGCAGCGCCAACATGACTGCCATAAGGATCTCGAGGATCAGTTTGTCTCCACTCTGTTTATGTTTACCGTTTCAGTATTATGAACTGTTTTTATTGACTATGTGTATTGATGTTATCCCCCTCCTAAGTGTCAGTGTCTCTGTGAATGACTGTATATATACAGAGTTATTTATTATGGAGTCTTGTTTGTATGTAACATCATGAAATAAAAACAATGTGTAAACCATCAAACCAGTCTGATTTTGTAGGTTATGACTAGGCTATTAACTGTGCATGCGTGAGTGAGTGAGTGAGTCCAGATTAATGCTGGTTTTGTAGTGCTCTTCCCCACCATGCCATAGTTTAACAAGGATATTATCCGTACAGAGACATTCTACTCCACCTCTTCCATCAAGTCTGCTGCAGAATACAAGGGACATCCTGGTTCATCAGGTCTGCTACAGAATACAAGGGACATCCTGGTCCATCAGGTCTGCTACAGAATACAAGGGACATCCTGGTCCATCAGGTCTGCTACAGAATACAAGGGACATCCTGGTCCATCAGGTCTGCTACAGAATACAAGGGACATCCTGGTTCATCAGGTCTGCTACAGAATACAAGGGACATCCTGGTTCATCAGGTCCATGTTGGGTGATTCCAGTTAAACGAGGGAGGCTGGTCTGCAGGTTGTGCTACATACTGCCATCATGACGTGCTCTCCTCTCAAAAGCAATAAGCAGGACAATAAGAACAAAACACCAAAGTTGGATTTAAATTTGTATTTTAATCCTTTAATACCCAAGCAGACATCACATATTCTCTCAGAATCACTCACAGTATACAGATGCTCATTTACATATGGTGGAGTTTGTACAAACATATCCGTGACCCACAGACGCTCTACATAAATAACCATGATCCACGGATCCTCTACATAAATATCTGTGATCATCAGATGTTCTCTATACATATATATCTGTGATTCACAGACACTCTACACAAATATCTGTGATCCACAGACACTTGACACATATATTGGTGATTCACTCACGCTCTACACAAATATCTGTGACCTAGGCATGTCCTACTTAAATATCTGTCTCAACTCTGTGCAGGAAGGAGCCAACACCCTGGGGTCATTCTAGCATACAAGAAAACACCCAAGTGTGATTCTCTCTGCTTGAGATAAAACTGAATATCAGAAAGCCAGGTTGAGGTCGGCATCATTAGGTTCCACCCTGGTCAGTATGACACACAACTGACAGCGAGTCAGTATGACACACAACTGGCAGCGAGTCAGCATGACACACAACTGGCAGCAAGTCAGTATGACACACAACTGGCAGCGAGTCAGTATGACACACAACTGGCAGCGAGTCAGTAGGACACACAACTGGCAGTGAGTCAGTAGGACACACAACTGGCAGCGAGTCAGTAGGACACACAACTGGCAGCGAGTCAGTAGGACACACAACTGGCAGTGAGTCAGTATGACACACAACTGGCAGCTAGTCAGTATGACACACAACTGGCAGCGAGTCAGTATGACACACAACTGACAGCGAGTCAGTATGACACACAACTGGCAGCGAGTCAGTCGGACACACAACTGGCAGCGAGTCAGTAGGACACACAACTGACAGCTAGTCAGTATGACTCACAACTGGCAGCGAGTCAGTCGGACACACTACACCGAGTCAGAGGCCTTTGATGACCGGGACAACCACAGTCCACATCCAAGATAAATATTAGTATCTAGTATCACACAGACAATGCATAGAGCATTAAAGCACCTCACGTTTGTCTGACTGCTCTTGAACAGGGCAGTGGTAACCAAGTCTGTGGTGACCACATCACTCATCCCGGGAGGGAGTAACTGCTCCATCTACAGGACAGAACTCAAAGCTAATACTGCCATAAATAACATAGGAATGACACAGAATGTGACAACTTGCAATAGATCTGGATCTTGTGTAGAAGACACACAAAAATTCCAACCCTTTCAGTTTAACACAACTGGCATCGCACATTACACCGTGGGCGGTCGAGCCAGGGTGAGAGATGCCGAGGTAACGCACCGCTAGGGGGTGAAGACGTGTTCTGCCATGTCTGTTGAGGTACAACAGGAGATGAGGATGTGGTATCCAGGTGTTTCTACAGGTAAGTACGGACCAGCATGACAATTGTGTGGAGGCTGTGCAATGCTCACACACAGACAGGGGGTTGGTCCTGCCTCATGTCACACAGAACTCCGTCTTCTACTGCTCCACAACACAGGGGGTTGGTCCTGCCTCATGTCACACAGAACTCCGTCTTCTACTGCTCCACAACACAGGGGGTTGGTCCTGCCTCATGTCACACAGAACTCTGTCTTCTACTGCTCCAAAACACAGGGGGTTGGTCCTGCCTCATGTCACACAGAACTCTGTCTTCTACTGCTCCACAACACAGGGGGTTGGTCCTGCCTCATGTCACACACAACTCCGTCTTCTACTGCTCCACAACACAGGTGGTAGCAAGCACCTCAGTGGGTCCCAGGTAGTTCTGCATGACCAGTGGAGTGAATTACTTTCCCTCTAATACTGTCCCAGCATAACACTCTTATCTGCTAGGTTAATGTAGCCATGTTGGGGAGATCATTAAATGCTTTGAAAGGCTTGAATGATAGTGAATCAACAACATACTGTAGACACTACTCGTACACACAAGCTCGGATCTCAATGTAGAATAATAACAGGAGGAAAAGGCTCAGATCTTGCTCTAAAAACAAACTTTTTACATGGTTATTTTTGTGCTTAATTTGCCTACCATGTTTAAAGCAGTATTTAACATATCGTCTCCATGCAAGATGCTGTTTTATATATGCAGTAATGTTACGATAGTAGTACAAGTTTCCAGTTGGATTATTTGGCACATCTTTTTCTTATGACTATTTCTCACTACATCTCTCCCAAACCATGCTACTTGCAGCTAGCTAGGAATATAAATACTGATGAGAAACTACAGAAAAACAAGAAAATGAACAGAAGATAAACAGCAGTGGTCCAAACTACACACACTCACACACCACACACACTCTTACTCATCAAATTTGATAATCTGACAAACAAAATAAATCCCTATAATGAGAATCATCAATATCATTGGATGATAAAAAGGATATGGAATAAAAATGCCTTTCCTAAAAAGATCATGTGAAATGGATATACTCTGATTGGCCAAACTATTGATTATTTCTGAACAGAAGCGCAATGATAGTGTGGTGTAAGCATTGCTCTGCACTCGTCCCGTGTAGAATCGCTGCTGTTGTGTTGTGGGTGTAGCTGACATCGGTCACCACAGTATTGCCCCAGTCCCCAGAGAGTAGGTTCCAAGCAGGAGAAACACACAGAAATAAATAGACAGCTGCAACAGCTGGTAAAAAACATAGAAAACTTCAAACACAATCATCGACGGCACTGATATGATTAAATTAAATAGGGGCACATTATGTTGACACGGGAGTGATGGAAGCATCACTTGTCTAGGACGTCTACACCTCCCTCCACCCTGGGAGGGAGGCTTTCTAAATGTACACTATATACAGGGTCCATGTGGCACACAGTGTCATACATACATGTGTCATACATGTGTCCCCATCACAGCCAAGAGGACTCACCTGATGTAGTTAGGTGTGTAGGTTTATTTACGGAGGCCATACCTTCTCAAACCTGCTACAGCGTATCCCCCTGACTCACGACAGCCAGGGGGAGCTGGCACAGCACTGTCTTACATGCTGTGTGAGGAGGTAGTCCCACCCTAGTTTGTACATTTATATCAATCCTTGCAGAATATGTAACACTTGTCATTGCACAAAGTACTAGAAGCCATGTGTGGAGCTGTTTCAGTTGGCCAGAATACCAGCAGCTGTGAGAACATGACTAAGGTCAACTGACTCCAGACACAGCTTTGCTTGAAGAAACATGACTTAAATAAACTGTTGGTTCTCTGACAGCCTGAAGGAACCGTACGACGACAGATGGTTCCGGTCCATGGTGACTGGCATGAAAGCCCACATCATGGCTGAACACAGTAATGCCCCGTGGATCAACTCTTCATAAATGCAGGGGCAAATATATAACATGATTTCCATTTAATTGTGACTCGTCCTTCTCGGCACAAAGGTGAGAACATTTTTCAACATTCCATGTGTCCGATATTATGGTCACTGAATCCACGTCTGAGTTGGCAGGTGTGTAGATGGGAGCCATCTTGCTGTGAACCTGGTGCAGGAGTACCATGAGATCCATGTCTAGTTTAAGTGGAAGCCTTTCTCCTTGGTGGCATCCAACAGTCTTTCTCGTAGGATGCACTCCGAGGAGTACTCGGGGAGCTTCAGGTAGTGGACACAGGTGTTCACAGAGGGGTAGCTGCTGTCATTGCCGTCCACCTTGCGCACAACCGTCAGTCGAGGATGGAGGTTAGCGAGGCCACCTGGTGGCAGTGAGGAGCAACCGGTGGTGAACTGAAGGAACGCTTTACGTTCATCCGCTGTTAGGCCAAGCAGGACGATGACCAACCTCTGGAAGCCCGGACTGGAAGCAAAAACAAGGCAGCGTTACTTTTCAGAAGCTTTGTGAAAATATTGATGAATTCTGTCCAGTTGCGAGTGAATAACTGGTACTGACTTGAGGATGTAGCAAGAAGTATAGAAGAGGATGAGAGAGCATAGGAGAGGATGGGAGAGCATAGGAGAGGATGGGAGAAGATGGGAGAGCATAGGAGAACATGTGAGAGCATAGGAGAGGATGGGAGAGCATAGGAGAACATGTGAGAGCATTGGAGAACATGTGAGAGCATAGGAGAGGATGGGAGAGCAAAGAAGAAGATGGGAGAGCATAGAAGAGGATGGGAGAGCATAGGAGAACATGTGAGAGCATAGGAGAGGATGGGAGAGCAAAGAAGAAGATGGGAGAGCATAGAAGAGGATGGGAGAGCATAGAAGAGGATGGGAGAGCATAGGAGAGGATAGAAGAACATACAGCAGGATGGGAGAGCATAGAAGAGGATGGGAGAGCAAAGGAGAGGATGGGAGAGCATAGGAGAACATGGGAGAGCATAGGAGAACATGGGAGAGCAAAGGAGAGGATGGGAGAGCATAGGAGAACATGGGAGAGCATAGGAGAACATATGATAGCATAGGAGAACATGTGAGAGCATAGGAGAGGATGGGAGAGCATAGGAGAGGATGGAAGAGCATAGGAGAACATGTGAGAGCATAGGAGAACATGTGAGAGCATAGGAGAACATGTGAGAGCACAGGAGAGCATAGAAGAGGATGGGAGAGCATAGGAGAGGATGGAAGAGCATACAGCAGGATGGGAGAGCATAGGAGAGGATGGGAGAGCATAGGAGAACATGGGAGAGGATGGGAGAACATGTGAGAGCATAGGAGAACATGGGAGAGCATAGGAGAACATGTGAGAGCATAGGAGAGGATGGGAGAGCATAGAGAACATGTGAGAGCATTGGAGAACATGTGAGAGCATAGGAGAGGATGGGAGAGCAAAGAAGAAGATGGGAGAGCATAGAAGAGGATGGGAGAGCATAGGAGAACATGTGAGAGCATAGGAGAGGGTGGGAGAGCAAAGAAGAAGATGGGAGAGCATAGAAGAGGATGGGAGAGCATAGAAGAGGATGGGAGAGCATAGGAGAGGATGGAAGAGCATCAGCAGGATGGGAGAGCATAGAAGAGGAAGGGAGAGCAAAGGAGAGGATGGGAGAGCATAGGAGAACATGGGAGAACATGGGAGAGCATAGGAGAGGATGGGAGAGCATAGGAGAACATGGGAGAGCATAGAAGAACATGTGAGAGCATAGGAGAACATGTGAGAGCAAAGGAGAGGATGGGAGAGCATAGGAGAGGATGGAAGAGCATAGGAGAACATGTGAGAGCATAGGAGAACATGGGAGAGCATAGGAGAGCATAGGAGAACATGGGAGAGCATAGGAGAACATGTGAGAGCATAGGAGAGGATGGGAGAGCATAGGAGAGGATGGAAGAGCATAGGAGAACATGTGAGAGCATAGGAGAACATGTGAGAGCATAGGAGAACATGGGAGAGCATAGGAGAACATGTGTGAGCAAAGAAGAAGATCGGAGAGCATAGAAGAGGATGGGAGAGCATAGGAGAGGATTGAAGAGCATAGGAGAGGATGGGAGAGCATAGAAGAGGATGGGAGAGCATAGAAGAGGATGGGAGAGCATAGAAGAGGATGGGAGAGCATAGGAGAGGATGGAAGAGCATACAGCAGGATAGGAGAGCATAGAAGAGGATGGGAGAGCATAGGAGAGGATGGGAGAGCATGAGAGAGAAATGTCATTTGAAATCTTTTACTGTCATCAAGCCAAGTGTTTTGGAGCTGGAAAATCTATTAAACCAAAAGATTCATTTACCCAGGTAGATGTGATTCACCTCTCCCGTGTGTAGCCAAGCTTGGGCTCGGTGTATGTGACTCACCTCTCCCGGGTGTCTGTGACTCCCGGGTGTATGTGACTCACCTCTCCCGGGTGTATGTGACTCCCGGGTGTATGTGACTCACCTCTCCCGGGTGTATGTGACTCCCGGGTGTATGAGACTCACCTTTCCCGGGTGTAGTCCAGCTTGGGCTCGGTGTATGTGACTCACCTCTCCCAGGTGTATGAGACTCACCTCTCCCGGGTGTATGTGACTCCCGGGTGTATGAGACTCACCTCTCCCGGGTGTATGTGACTCCCGGGTGTATGAGACTCACCTTTCCCGGGTGTAGTCCAGCTTGGGCTCGGTGTATGTGACTCACCTCTCCAAGGTGTATGAGACTCACCTCTCCCGGGTGTATGTGACTCCCGGGTGTATGAGACTCACCTCTCCCGGGTGTATGTGACTCCCGGGTGTATGAGACTCACCTCTCCCGGGTGTATGTGACTCACCTCTCCCGGGTGTCTGTGACTCTCGGGTGTATGTGACTCACCTCTCCCGGGGGTATGTGACTCACCTCTCCCGGGGGTATGTGACTCCCGGGTGTATGTGACTCACCTCTCCCAGGTGTATGTGACTCCCGGGTGTATGAGACTCACCTTTCCCAGGTGTAGTCCAGCTTGGGCTCGGTGTATGTGACTCACCTCTCCCAGGTGTATGAGACTCACCTCTCCCGGGTGTATGTGACTCCCGGGTGTATGAGACTCACCTCTCCCGGGTGTATGAGACTCACCTTTCCCGGGTGTAGTCCAGCTTGGGCTCTGTGTATGTGACTCACCTCTCCAAGGTGTATGAGACTCACCTCTCCCGGGTGTATGTGACTCTCGGGTGTATGAGACTCACCTCTCCCGGGTGTATTTGACTCCCGGGTGTATGAGACTCACCTCTCCCGGGTGTATGTGACTCCCGGGTGTATGAGACTCACCTTTCCCGGGTGTAGTCCAGCTTGGGCTCGGTGTATGTGACTCACCTCTCCAAGGTGTATGAGACTCACCTCTCCCGGGTGTATGTGACTCCCGGGTATATGAGACTCACCTCTCCCGGGTGTATGTGACTCCCGGGTGTATGAGACTCACCTCTCCCGGGTGTATGTGACTCACCTCTTCCGGGTGTCTGTGACTCCCGGGTGTATGTGACTCACCTCTCCCGGGGGTATGTGACTCACCTCTCCCGGGGGTATGTGACTCCCGGGTGTATGTGACTCACCTCTCCCGGGTGTATGTGACTCCCGGGTGTATGAGACTCACCTTTCCCGGGTTTAGTCCAGCTTGGGCTCGGTGTATGTGACTCACCTCTCCCAGGTGTATGAGACTCACCTCTCCCGGGTGTATGTGACTCCCGGGTGTATGAGACTCACCTCTCCCGGGTGTATGTGACTCCCGGGTGTATGAGACTCACCTTTCCCGGGTGTAGTCCAGCTTGGGCTCGGTGTATGTGACTCACCTCTCCAAGGTGTATGAGACTCACCTCTCCCGGGTGTATGTGACTCTCGGGTGTATGAGACTCACCTCTCCCGGGTGTATTTGACTCCCGGGTGTATGAGACTCACCTCTCCCGGGTGTATGTGACTCCCGGGTGTATGAGACTCACCTTTCCCGGGTGTAGTCCAGCTTGGGCTCGGAATATGTGACTCACCTCTCCCAGGTGTATGAGACTCACCTCTCCCGGGTGTATGTGACTCCCGGGTGTATGAGACTAACCTCTCCCAGGTGTATGTGACTCCCGGGTGTATGAGACTCACCTCTCCCGGGTGTATGTGACTACCGCGTGTATATGACTCACCTCTCCCGGGTGTAGCCCAGCTTGGGCTCTGTGTATGTGACTCACCTCTCCCAGGTGTATGTGACTCCCGGGTGTAAGAGACTCACCTCTCCCGGGTGTATGTGACTACCGCGTGTATATGACTCACCTCTCCCGGGTGTATGTGACTACCGGGTGTATATGACTCACCTCTCCCGGGTGTAGCCCAGCTTGGGCTCGGTGTATATGACTCACCTCTCCCGGGTGTAGCCCAGCTTGGGCTCTGTGTATGTGATGATGTCCTCCCTGGTCCAGCAGGGGGCCTGGTCGCCACACAGCAGACTTCCGAGCTCCGTGGGGCTGAAGGAGTGCAGCTTCTCCATGGGGAACACCAGGTTAAACCCAGCTGAAACACACACACAGTGGGGCTGTCACACGGCTTCTACATGGGGAACACCAGGTTAAACCCAGCTGAAACACACACACACACAGTGGGGCTGTCAGACAGCTTCTTCATGGGGAACACCCGGTTAAACCCGGTTAAACCCGGTTAAACCCAGCTGAAACACACACACAGTAGGGCTGTCACACGGCTTCTACATGGGGAACACCAGGTTAAACCCAGCTGAAACACACACACACACAGTGGGGCTGTCAGACAGCTTCTTCATGGGGAACACCCGGTTAAACCCGGTTAAACCCGGTTAAACCCAGCTGAAACACACACGCAGCGGGGCTGTCACACGGCTTCTACATGGGGAACACCCGGTTAAACCCAGCTGAAACACACACACACAGTGGGGCTGTCACACGGCTTCTACATGGGAAACACCAGGTTAAACCCAGCTGAAACACACACACAGTGGGGCTGTCAGACAGCTTCTACATGGGAAACACCAGGTTAAACCCAGCTGAAACACACACACAGTGGGGCTGTCACACGGCTTCTACATGGGGAACACCCGGTTAAACCCAGCTGAAACACACACACAGTAGGGCTGTCACACGGCTTCTACATGGGGAACACCAGGTTAAACCCAGCTGAAACACACACACAGTAGGGCTGTCACACGGCTTCTACATGGGGAACACCCGGTTAAACCCAGCTGAAACACACACACAGTAGGGCTGTCACACGGCTTCTACATGGGGAACACCCGGTTAAACCCAGCTGAAACACACACACACAGTGGGGCTGTCACACGGCTTCTACATGGGGAACACCAGGTTAAACCCAGCTGAAACACACACACAGTGGGGCTGTCACACAGCTTCTACATGGGGAACACCAGGTTAAACCCAGCTGAAACACACACACAGTGGGGCTGTCACAAAGGCTTCTACATGGGGAACACCAGGTTAAACCCAGCTGAAACACACACACACACACACACAGTGGGGCTTTCACAAGGCTTCTCTGAGCAGACCTCACACAGCCTGCTTGCAGTCTAGAATAATACTCCTTCCCTATCTCCAGATTCAGTTAATGAGTGAGTGAGTGAGTTTGGTATACTGCTTCCTACAGTGCGTCAGTAATGGGGAATCAGCTTATGTGGGGAGGATAGCCTGAACTGATGCAGGTCTTTGACATTTACCACTTTGGTGAAAGACACAAGCGCAGGCATGGCGCTGACAAACCTAGAATCCCAATCACAAGAAAGCATGAGTTGAACCGTGAGTCAAACCCACAACCTTTGGCTGCTGGCATGCCAGGGGACGCAACTCTGTACTGCAAATTGCAGCATAGAAATGTCTAGTCCACCCACTTATATATGAAGAAATGTGATGAAAGCATCACTTGACTTGTGTGAGAGATGACTGTTCCCTATCAATGGCCCTACCTCTGAATGCATCCATCTGCCTCCTGATGCCGTTGTTGAAGCAGAAGTCTGTGACCAGCTCGATATACTCCTCAATGTTGTCCAGTGACACGTCCTGTGGGAAGAGTGCAAGTTCAGACGTCACAAGTCAACATATGATGCACATCATCTGAATGCCAACTGTTTCTTCTCAAACTATTGCTGTGGAGTCAGGAGCTATTCTGTGTACGCATAACAAACTTACCTCATTTTCTCCATTGTGCTTGAGATCGTACGAGGTGTAGCCATAGACTTTAGAGGACGGGTTGAACTGGAAGGTCAAGCTGCAACAGACATGAAGATTGTGGTTGACTGAAGGTGAGACTCAATTTAGAAACAAAACGACTGACTGATTCACCGCTATCTTCACCAAACATCCCATCTACCATCACAGATTCACCACCTAGACCACCCAGCCTTCTCTTGTGGTCCACTTACTCTTGGGATCCACCAAAATCAGCCGCACCAACCTACTCTTGTGGTCCACTTACTCTTGGGATCCACCAAAATCAGCCGCACCAACCTACTCTTGTGGTCCACTTACTCTTGGGATCCACCTATATCAGACCCACCAGCCTACTCTTGTGGTCCACTTACTCTTGGGATCCACCTATATCAGACCCACCAGCCTACTCTCGTGGTCCACTTACTCTTGGGATCCACCTATATCAGACCCACCAGCCTACTCTTGTGGTCCACTTACTCTTGGGATCCACCTATATCAGACCCACCAGCCTACTCTCGTGGTCCACTTACTCTTGGGATCCACTACTCTCGTGGTCCACTTACTCTTGGGATCCACCTATATCAGACCCACCAGCCTACTCTCGTGGTCCACTTACTCTTGGGATCCACCTATATCAGACCCACCAGCCTACTCTTGTGGTCCACTTACTCTTGGGATCCACCTATATCAGACCCACCAGCCCTCGGCCCACCGACCCCAGTGATCCACCTACCCTAGATCCTCCAGTCTGACTGCCATGCAAGGGTCGGCGGGGTTCGGCAGGGCCAGTTCCTCCAAGAGGATGTTCTTCTGGTCCTCCGACAGCGACTTGTCTTTCAGGATCCTCTGCTTCTTGGCCGACAGGTCACGCAGCTGCCTCAGGAAGGCCGCCCTGTGTGGGTTGACGATCTCGAAGTCCTCCTCCGTCAGGATGCCAGCAAACCAGGGCGTGAGGAGATTGTGGCGAGACTTGGGCTGGTCCATCTTCATCTCCTTCTCGATCTCCTCGATGCTGGTGATCATGTCGCTGCTCTCGCTGTGCCAGGACTCCAGCATATTGCCGTAGCCCTTCTGGGAGAGGTCGTGGTACTGCTGGGCAATGTTGTGGCCCACCTCACCCATACACATCAGCTTGAGGAAGGGGCGGGAAAGGGGCAGGTCGATGAGGCGGTTGTCCTGCAGACACTTGGCTAGGAGGGTGCCCAGGAAGAAGAAGATTCTCTCCACTCGATCCATGTCTGCACTGTCTTGAGGCAGTGCCGCAGGGAACAGTCCCCCGATTCTCTGCACGTAATACCCAGGAGGACGTACGCCATGACCAATATCAACCTGACAGGAGAAGAAATATTACGAGATTTAACAACATGAATCTAAACCCCAAACCAGCAATGTCACAAATCAGCTTCAGAGAACAGGAACCTCATTAGTCATTGTTTTATCCATAAGATTATTTCACTGTACATATATGTTCAGTGTAAAATAACTGGGATGCAATGATGACATTTTCTAATTTAGCAGTAAATCAAAACACCTGCCAGCATTATTATCGGGGAGGCTACAACATGTCACACATTTATGAATCCAATGAAACAGTCAGTCAATGGAGACTGTATCTTTTCCATAGTTCTTATAGAGATTTCTTATTGATGGAATGTGATGAGACAGAGAAATGCCCCCACACGTTAACCCAACTTTCAGACAACAATCCAGATGAGGGAGTCCTACTTCTCATTCTGAAGTATCCACAATATCATCATCAAGACAACCCAGATGAGGGAGTCCTACCTCTCGTTCTGAAGTATCCACAATATCATCATCAAGACAACCCAGATGAGGGAGTCCTACCTCTCGTTCTGAAGTATCCACAATATCATCATCAAGACAACCCAGATGAGGGAGTCCTATCTCTCGTTCTGAAGTATCCACAATATCATCATCAAGACAACCCAGATGAGGGAGTCCTATCTCTCGTTCTGAAGTATCCACAATATCATCATCAAGACAACCCAGATGAGGGAGTCCTACCTCTCGTTCTGAAGTATCCACAATATCATCATCAAAACAACCCAGATGAGGGAGTCCTACCTCTCGTTCTGAAGTATCCACAATATCATCATCAAGACAACCCAGATGAGGGAGTCCTATCTCTCGTTCTGAAGTATCCACAATGTCATCATCAAGACAACCCAGATGAGGGAGTCCTATCTCTCATTCTGAAGTATCCACAATATCATCATCAAGACAACCAACCCAGATGAGGGAGTCCTACCTCTCATTCTGAAGTATCAACAATATCATCATCAAGACAACCCAGGTGAGGGAGTCCTACCAATCGTACTGAAGTATCCACGATATCATCATCAAGACAACCCAGATGAGGGAGTCCTACCTCTCGTTCTGAAGTATCCACAATATCATCATCAAGATAACCCAGATGAGCGAGTCCTACCTCTCGTTCTGAAGTATCCACAATATCATCATCAAGATAACCCAGATGAGCGAGTCCTACCTCTCGTTCTGAAGTATCCACAATATCATCATCAAGATAACCCAGATGAGCGAGTCCTACCTCTCGTTCTGAAGTATCCACGATATCATCATCACTCAGCCACAGGCCCAGGGACTTCCTCTGCATCTCCGCGGCAACTAGAGCATAGAACTCTAGCGTCGGTCCAAGACCAGTGCCTTCTTCTCCCTCAAACTCAATCTGAAACAGTCAGTGTCATCCTCAGATCTGTCCTGCTCCATAATGCAAACATAGTAACACAAGACAGAAATCTAACACATCAGGGTGTCCTAAAAGGCAAGACCGGCTATGTGTGGTCATGGCAATCAAAGACAAGGTGCTCGTCATCAAAGGCTATGTACACAAGACAGCCGGCAGGGTTGCAGCATTCAATGGTGAGAGCATGTCAGCCAGTGAGAGCCGGTCACCGGAGCATGTCAGCCAGTGAGAGCCGGTCACCGGAGCATGTCAGCCAGTGAGAGCCGATCACCGGAGCATGTCAGCCAGTGAGAGCCGATCACCGGAGCATGTCAACCAGTGAGAGCCGGTCACCGGAACATGTCAGCCAGTGAGAGCCGGTCACCGGAGCAAGTCAGCCAGTGAGAGCCGGTCACCGGAGCATGTCAGCCGGTCACCGGAGCATGTCAGCCAGTGAGAGCCGGTCACCGGAGCATGTCAGCCAGTGAGAGCCGGTCACCGGAGCATGTCAGCCAGTGAGAGCCGATCACAGGAGCATGTCAACCAGTGAGGTGAGGTGAAATTGGGATTATTGCACTTATTGCACACGTGTGTGTGTGTGGCTGGCTGTACTCATCCGGACTGATGCCAATTTATAGTGCTAGGTCACCGAGATACCATGCCACACTTAACATGAATACCCCATTCAGACACAGTATACTGACTCAGAGCCGACCAGTCCTTGTTTTAGTCCCTTAATGCCGAGCACCAGAGAGGGTTACAACAAGTACCATCTTTTACCGGAGTATATCAACCAGTGAGAGCCAGTCACCGGAGCATATGAACCAGTGAGAGCCGGTCACCGGAGCATGTCAACCAGTGAGGGAATTGTTACATTCCACAGTCTGAATCGCCGGAGCATGTAAACCCATAAGTGAAAGTATGAGCAGTGGTCTACGCCGAAACAATCGCATGTCATGAACCAGATAACTGAGCCAGACCACCCCATGTCGTGTCGTGTCGTGTCGTGTCGTGTCGTGTCGTGTCGTGTATGCTGTTAAACCAGCAAATGGAGACCTGTTCTACCAAAAGAAGTGTTCTTATGTGTTGCTTCAGCGATTGAGAGCCAGATTAAAAAATTGAAAGTGATTTATCGTTTAGTCATTGATTGTCTGGGATCCTTACACAGTAGATGAATGTATGGAGTGGTGTTTTCCTACCTCGAGCACGGCCTTCCTCTGGCCGTGGTGTTTCATGACCTGCATCGCCCACTCCAGGAGCTGCGCCCCACGCGGAACCTTGATCCTCTCATGCTTCAACCTCCCCACACGGAACTCATGGCCGTCGTCTCGGCGGGGCAGAGGGCCACGGTTCCGCTCTATACTGGCGTCACGCTTGTTCTGCAGCCACACGATGGCTCTGGAAAACAACAAGTTGACAAGGAGTAGGTGAGTCAGTTTTATTACGGCGTCATCGTGCTGATCTGTCAATAATTACATCTCAACCAGTGACTTAGAACATAAGAAAAGATCAGGGCCTGATGACGTGGAAGCAGCCAAGTCATGGAGTCTGACCCCCTCCACCTGAGTCAGCTCTAATGACAGCATTGGGTGCTGAGGATGTGTTCTATCTCAGCCCCCTGGGTCACGTGGACATCATGAACTTACTGAGTAAACGCTGGAGCAGATGATGAGCAGGATGAGTGCCAGACACAGCCTAGTCTCTCCACACATGAACCCTTCTTGAACTATGTGTAGTGGAGATCTACTGAACACACTAAGTGAAGTTACCTGGAGGTGCCGAATGCTGTACAGGTGAAGTACAGCTGCCGCGTCTCGAAGGGGAACAGCATGGGGCACCAGCGTGTGAGATGCTCACACCACTCCGGCAACGCATGACTTGCTAGCACCAGGGGATCCTGTACACAGACAAATGCAGCTGAATGCTGGGTGGTCACACAGACACTTTACTTGTAATCTATCAAATTTTGTTTGTTTGTTTGTTTCTAGTTTAATGCCACATTTAGCAATATTCCAGCTAAATGACGGCAGTCTGTAAATAATCGAGTCTGGACCAGACAATCCATTGATCGACATCATGATCATTGATCTATGCAATTTAATCATTACACTTGACTTCTGGGGATTTAAAAGATACCAACACTCACCTGAATTTGTTGCACAACCTTGTTAGTGATCTTCTTGCTGATGAACTCATCAGCTGGAATGTTTAACTGAACCTCGCTGTTGTCTGTGAGAACAAAAGTAACACTCAGTATATACACCATTCTGTTTCCAACATATATGTCAGATACAACATCGGATTCTGTTTCATGGGCGTGGCTGGCTCCATGGTGATACAGACTACGTGGACTTACCATTCCTCTTACTGGGCGTGGCCCACTCCATGGTGATACAGACTACGTGGACTTACCATTCCTCTTACTGGGCGTGGCCTGCTCCATGGTGATACAGACTACGTGGACTTACCATTCCTCTTACTGGGCGTGGCCTGCTCCATGGTGATGGCAAACATCCGCTGCAGCAGGTTGAGGACGTGGTCGACGGTGCAGCTGGTGATGTCGCCGGCGCGAGGCAGGTCCCAGTCAAGCAGACTCTGCCGCAGAACCCCGAACTTGTCCACCGGGGAGGACGTCTGAAACAAGGGCCGGCCGGCCTGCATGTTAGGAGTGGGAAAAAGCAGGGCACAACAAACAAGTAATTGTTTTTAGTGTTTCTTCACATTAATAACTTTGTGTTGGATGTAATAAAACATTTTTTTATAATAATCAAATCTTCTGACTCAAATAAAGGCCCTTGTTGAAAAAATTAGTAAAATCTAAATATTTTCACATTTGAATACTTACCTTGCATTACTACCTTAATGCACTTTAGACGTAGTTATGCACGATAAGTAAAAACATTTAGTAAAATCGGCAGTATCTGCAAAATCAGTATCCTACATTACTACGTCTAACTTGCACTAAGGTTGTAATGCAGGATAAGTTAAAAAATTGTACAAAGTAGGTCGGACAAAAACCCAGCAAGATATCAGCAGTCTGTGTGTGACATGTTGGTGGTGTTACTTTCCAGGATGTGTAGCCTATGTAACAAGACAGGGACACACCAGCACCTGCTCACCTTGCTGCCCTTGTCCGAGTCCTTCTCCTCCTCCTCCTTCAACTCCTTGTAGATGATCCTGTAGGGACAAAGTGTTGCAGGGTCAGAGGGGGCAGGAACCAAATCAGTTTACAATGATGCAGATCACCCTATTTACAATGGTACTAATCCCTGCACGGAATCAAGTTTCTCACATGCTGTGCAGAAAGTTAGGTGTATACCCTGACAGATGCTTTGGGTTGTTTGTTTGTTGTTAATCACCACCTTCAGCAATAATGTACCTATTTGACAGCTCTAAGTCTGCAGACAAGCTGTTATAAATCCAGGCTGTCTGAGCCTACTGACATGGTATTAAGCAAGTCACAGCACATGCTCCAGTTACGCCAAGCCTAGGTTGCTGGGGACAGTTCTAACCCTGTAAGAAGCTTCTATCATGCAGTGTGGTGACGTACGTGTATGTGCTTCTATCATGCAGTGTGGTGACGTACGTGTATGTGCTTCTATCATGCAGGGTGGTGACGTACGTGTATGTGCTTCTATCATGCAGGGTGGTGACGTACGTGTATGTGCTTCTATCATGCAGGGTGGTGACGTACGTGTATGTGCTTCTATCATGCAGGGTGGTGACGTACGTGTATGTGCTTCTATCATGCAGGGTGGTGACGTACGTGTATGTGCTTCTATCATGCAGGGTGGTGACGTACGTGTATGTGCTTCTATCATGCAGGGTGGTGACGTACGTGTATGTGCTTCTATCATGCAGTGTGGTGACGTACGTGTATGTGCTTCTATCATGCAGTGTGGTGACGTACGTGTATGTGCTTCTATCATGCAGTGTGGTGACGTACGTGTTTGTGCTTCTATCATGCAGTGTGGTGACGTACGTGTATGTGCTTCTATCATGCAGTGTGGTGACGTACGTGTTTGTGCTTCTATCATGCAGGGTGGTGACGTACGTGTATGTGCTTCTATCATGCAGGGTGGTGACGTACGTGTATGTGCTTCTATCTTGCAGGGTGGTGACGTACGTGTATGTGCTTCTATCATGCAGGGTGGTGACGTACGTGTATGTGCTTCTATCATGCAGGGTGGTGACGTACGTGTATGTGCTTCTATCTTGCAGGGTGGTGACGTACGTGTATGTGCTTCTATCATGCAGGGTGGTGACGTACGTGTATGTGCTTCTATCATGCAGTGTGGTGACGTACGTGTATGTGCTTCTATCATGCAGTGTGGTGACGTACGTGTATGTGCTTCTATCATGCAGGGTGGTGACGTACGTGTATGTGCTTCTATCATGCAGGGTGGTGACGTACGTGTATGTGCTTCTATCATGCAGTGTGGTGACGTACGTGTATGTGGTTCTATCATGCAGGGTGGTGACGTACGTGTATGTGCTTCTATCATGCAGGGTGGTGACGTACGTGTATGTGCTTCTATCATGCAGGGTGGTGACGTACGTGTATGTGCTTCTATCATGCAGGGTGGTGACGTACGTGTATGTGGGTTCCCAGATCCTCTTCAGCCGCTCGTTGCGTCCGGCGTGGGAGCCGAGTGTCAGGAGGTGTTGTACGTACTTGAAGACGCACGATCCAGCATCCGCCAGCAGGAACTCCTCGTCATTCATCTGGGAAGCCAACGTCAACATTGATACATTCATTTAGGAAGCCAACGTCAACATTGATACATTCATTTAGGAAGCCAACGTCAACATTGATACATTCATTTAGGAAGCCAACGTCAACATTGATACATTCATTTAGGAAGCCAACGTCAACATTGATACAACAAGCAAGAAATACTCATATCCCCCGCCAATATGACATGTCCGGTTGTGTGCAATGCATTTGCTCCTGTAAACTATGTTCACTGGGCCTTTTTGTAAATGGCCTAATTGCAGCACTAAAAAAAATTATTACTGGTGTTGTTTTGCCATCTGCAGTTTATGATAGAATATGTAACTGTATTTGTAATGAGTAAGGATGAGACATATGGACGAACAACTTCTTTATTACAATTAGGATCGATGGTTTCGGTGTAGGTTCTAACACCGTCATCAAGCAAGTGAAGTACAGAGTATGGCTGACAAGAATATATACAGGATAGGAGGCAGTGTTTATACAGTTGAGTAGGTTAAAGATGCAGTTACACTGTTGTATTTGTAATGAGTTGTGTTTCTGCATGAAGTTAGTCAGTGAATGCAACAACTGTGTCTATGACACTTTTGGAGGAACATACACGAAAGCAATGCAGAACTTACCAACAAGAAAGGAAATGTATTCAATACTGCGAGATGACATTATGTGCCAAGTTTGGTGAAGAAATATTGTACGGTTTTCAAGATCTGCTCCGGAAAGGAGGACTACCGCCATTTTCGGTCTAAGTCGTTGCCATGGAAAGTCAAAGTCGTTGCCATGGAAACTCGAAAAATGATTTTTTTTTAAAATCCCAAACTATCAAAAGGCACCAGTTCACCACTAGACCTATCTATGTGCCAAGTTTGGTGAAGAAATATGGTACGGTTTTCAAGATCTGCTCCGGAAACGAAATGTGACGGACGGAAGGACGGACGGACGGCACCCATTCCTATATCCAACTTAAATAAATCACTGAAGATTACAATAATTAGGAGATAAACAGTGCAGCATGAGGTTTCAAATGTTAAATTTAGCGCGGTTAAATCTACAGGTAACCCTAGCTCTACATTGAAAACACAGTATGTTTATCTCCATTCTACCATGACTAAATAAAACTGAACTCTTTGGTCTTAGCAAATATACTGAGTGAAGCGGCATGGGTTGAGTCCAGTGTTTTGAGTGGGTTATCTATCTGAATTACGGAATAACCGAACAAAATATGGTGCTGTATATACTCAAGCAGTTTGTTTACACCGTAATACTTTACTCGAACATATGACAGGCACTGAAAGCATAGAAGCACATCAACTTGGTTAGCTACCATGAGGTGGGCATCCCTAAAGAAAACAAAGCAAGCTTTGCAAGGCTTTTGGTCTACATCACACGTCACCATCATATTGCTCATTGTGATGCAAAAGATATGACGTCACAGTCCTAAATAGAAAAGCGCCAAAATTCCAAGCCCTCCGTTGTCTCCAAAACGTAAATACATTCCCTTTGAAGATTTCTATCGTGTTTTCTGCATGAAATGTATTGCCACACATCCTTTGAATATTGTAGTAACCGCATCTGTGCATTTTGTAATCTGTAACTGTAGCTATAATTATTTAAATATGCCTACCAACAGTGACTGAAAATAGTACTATTCTATCAATATTAGCTTCCGCAGTGATGCGGTTGTCAAACCAGCTGTTTCAATCAGAGAGGGTTTATTGTGATTTAATAGCCTCTGATTGACCAATCAGAATCGAGTAAATTCCACATTCATGGTAGAATAATCATTATCTCTCCCACAACTGTTGACATTTAACTTTACCCTTAAGTTCGATGTCTTGAAAACATGGGTTAACCCAGGACACCACTCGGAGCTTGACAGAGATGGGGATAGAACTCAGGACACCACTTGCAGCTTGACAAGGATGGGACTAGAACTCAGGACAGCACTAGCAGCTTGACAGAGATGGGGATAGAAATCAGGACAGCACTAGCAGCTTGACAGAGATGGGAATAGAACTCAGGACCCAACTAGCAGCTTGACAAGGATGGGAGTAGAACTCAGGACACCACTTACAGCTTGACAGAGATGGGGATAGAACTCAGGACACAACTAGCAGCTTGACAAGGATGGGAGTAGAACTCAGGACACCACTTACAGCTTGACAGAGATGGGAATAGAACTCAGGACACAACTAGCAGCTTGACAAGGATGGGAGTAGAACTCAGGACACCACTTACAGCTTGACAGAGATGGGAATAGAACTCAGGACACAACTAGCAGCTTGACAAGGATGGGAGTAAAACTCAGGACACCACTTACAGCTTGACAGAGATGGGAATAGAACTCAGGACACAACTAGCAGCTTGACAAGGATGGGAGTAGAACTCAGGACACCACTTACAGCTTGACAGAGATGGGAATAGAACTCAGGACACAACTAGCAGCTTGACAAGGATGGGAGTAGAACTCAGGACACCACTTACAGCTTGACAGAGATGGGGATAGAACTCAGGACACCATAAGCAGCTTGACAGAGATGGGGATAGAACTCAGGACACGACTAGCAGCTTGACAGAGATGCCGACAGAATTCAGGACACCATAAGCAGCTTGACAGAGATGGGGATAGAACTCAGGACACGACTAGCAGCTTGACAGAGATGCCGACAGAATTCAGGACACCATTAGCAGCTTGGCAGAGATGGGGATAGAACTCAGGACACAACTAGCAGCTTGACAGAGATGCCGACAGAATTCAGGACACCATAAGCAGCTTGACAGAGATGGGAATAGAACTCAGGACACCACTTGCAGCTTGACAGAGATGGGGATAGAACTCAGGACACCATAAGCAGCTTGACAGAGATGGGGATAGAACTCAGGACACCATTAGCAGCTTGACAGAGATGGGGATAGAACTCAGGACACCATAAGCAGCTTGACAGAGATGGGGATAGAACTCAGGACACCATAAGCAGCTTGACAGAGATGGGAATAGAACTCAGGACACGACTAGCAGCTTGACAGAGATGGGAATAGAACTCAGGACACGACTAGCAGCTTGACAGAGATGGGGATAGAAATCAGGACACGACTAGCAGCTTGACAGAGATGCCGACAGAATTCAGGACACCATTAGCAGCTTGGCAGAGATGGGGACAGAATTCAGGACACCATTAGCAGCTTGGCAGAGATGGGGATAGAACTCAGGACACCACTTGCAGCTTGACATAGATGCTGATAGAACTCAGGACACCATTAGCAGCTTGACAGAGATGGGAATAGAACTCAGGACACGACTGGCAGCTTGACAGAGATGGGGATAGAACTCAGGACACCATTAGCAGCTTGACAGAGATGGGAATAGAACTCAGGGCACCACTAGCAGCTTGACAAGGATGGGAGTAGAACTCAGGACACGACTAGCAGCTTAACAGAGATGCTGATAGAACTCAGGACACCACTAGCAGCTTGACAGAGATGGAGATAGAACTGGGAGGACACCACTAGCAGCTTGACAGAGATGCAGATAGAACTGGGAGGACACCACTAGCAGCTTGACAGAGATGCAGATAGAACTGGGAGGACACCACTAGCAGCTTGACAGAGATGCAGATAGAACTGGGAGGACATGCAGAACTGAAGACAAGTGAGAGTCTGAAGGAAATGTTTATAATACAAAGGTTTAAGGGACCAAACAGCCGCGTCATGGGAGTAACATGAGCGGTGCCAGGTGACAGGTCCTACAGTCCTACAGTCCTCCTTTCCACACTTACCCCAGGCAGACACGGCGCTCGGAGAGCCAGCACTAGTCGGGGCTGAGCCACCATCTCCCTCTGTTCCCCAGCTCCGTTATCTGCAGCACCTGCAGGCACAACAACATCATCAGATACACCTGCAGGCACAACAACATCATCAGCTACACCTGCACATACAAGAGCATGTCCCATGCTATTACAGGTCATTGTCAAATCATTACCTGACATGCATGGACCTGATACGGATGCATAATTTACTTGGCAAGTTGAATAGCCTGAAAAGTCTTGTAGCAAGAACAACAGACCTCAGTGTTATATACAGGGTCTGTGTTGTCTATCTATTGTAACTGACTGAGGGCTATAGGGCCTTTGTAGTCTACCCCTGATATTGAGGATTATAGGGCCTTTGTAGTCTACCCCTGATATTGAGGACAAGAGGGCCTGTGCTGTTTTCCCCTGATACTGGACTGTGGGCTGGAGGGCGACTGCACTCAGCGGAAACACAGGGTATCCCATGATGCAACTCACCTGGAGCAGGGATCTCAAAGTCCTGAGTTTGGTTGACGTTGGTCCGCCCTGGGCGGGGATCAAATGCCGGAATCAGAGCGGAGAACTGACGCTTGAGAACAAACTCATCATCCCAAGTCCGTCTATCACGGGTGTCCAGCTCATCTTCCTCCTGAAACAACACACCTCACACGTGTTACCCAGTGACACACCTCACACGTGTTACCCAGTGACACACCTCACACGTGTAACCCAGTGACACACCTCACACGTGTGACCCAGTGACACACCTCACACGTGACTCAGTGACACCTCACACGTGTGGCCTAGTGACACACCTCACACGTGTGGCCCAGTGACACACCTCACACGTGACTCAGTGACACACCTCACACGTGTAACCCAGTGACACACCTCACACGTGTTACCCAGTGACACACCTCACATGTGTGACCCAGTGACACACCTCACAAGTATGGCCCAACTGACACACCTCACATGTGTGGCCCAACTGACACACCTCACACGTGAGGCCCAGTGACACACCTCACACGTGTGACCCAGTGACACCTCACATGTGACACACCTCACACGTGTGACCCAGTGACACCTCACATGTGACACACCTCACACGTGTGACCCACTGACACACCTCACATGTGACACACCTCACACGTGTGACCCAGTGACACCTCACATGTGACACACCTCACACGTGTGACCCCGTGACACACCTCACATGTGACACACCTCACACATGTGACTCAGGGACACACCTCACACGTGTGGCCCAGTGACACACCTCACATGTGGCCCAGTGACACACCTCACACGTGTGACCCAGTTACACACCTCACACGTGTGACCCAATGACACACCTCACACGTGTAGCCCAGTGACACACCTCACACGTGTAGCCCAGTGACACACCTCACATGTGTGACTCAGTGACACACCTCACATGTGTGACTCAGTGACCCACATCACACATTTTTGTTGTTTAACACTGTACTAAGCAATATTCCAGCTATATGACTGTGGTTTCTAAGTGGATATACACATTAAACTGCGGCATGGTATCTCAGTGGGTAAACACAATAAAACCAACATTAGGCCAGATTAGTACAAGCATCGAAATACAGCCACAGCCACAGCCACAGCCACACCCATAAGCACGTCACAATATAAGTGCAATAATTTTAAACACAACATTCAACCTCATTTCACCTCACTGGGGACATTAAAGTCTCAAAATCTTCAAAGGCATATTGAGGTACTGGAGTTCAGATTTCAGATTTCCTCCTCAAGAAATAATGTTGACATAATCAGTCTGCCCAATATCATTCAAATTATTCATTATTCCAATAAACAAGTACTCAATTTAGTGTGACCTTATTATGAGGAGGAGGAGGAGGAGCAGAAGTGGAGCGGTTCGCTGGACATACCAGGACATCATCATAGTCCTCGTCATCTTCATTCTCGTCCTCATTCTCATCGTCGTCATCGTCCGGTTCCGGCAGCTCTTCATCGTCCTCCAGTTCTGCCAGGAGCGTGGTTGCCCGGCAACTGTCCAGGAACTCGTTGTCACTCTCGCTGGAGGTGGACGTGAGGCTGCGTGTGAGGGCCTGGCTCAGTGACGTCACATTGGCCATGGTCTGGGTGGTGGTCAGTGTGTTGGACGTCTGACCCGCAGAGGACGTGAGGCTGGGGTAGCTCTGGGCCGCACTGAGGAGATTGCCTAGGTCAACAGCAGAGTGATAGGACAGATACATTCTCCTGATCTCACAGCGTACAACAGCAGAAGGTAGAGTGAGTGAGTGAGTGAGTGAGTGAGGTTTTACACTGTTTCCAGCAATAAGTCCCAGCTGGTCACAGAATGGACAAACAAAGTGTAATTAGGAATTCAACAAGAATCTAGGAGCCAAAGCATAAACTTTTGCTCCCACCTAAACAAATTGCACTTCCTGTTTGCTTAAATCATGTTACCTCTTTAATTGTGTTATTTTCACATTGTGATAGAAAAACTATATATGTTATGTTTCATGACTTGAAAAAAAACAGTATAAAAGCATTACGTTTCAAAACTAAGATTACCCCTATAGTTATCAAACAGAATGCTTGTAAACTATGTGCTAATGGACTTGAGCTAATGCACTCTTTGGAACATCCAGGGAATTCCAGATGAAACAGAAGAGATAATGATTTTCTCATTTAGTGCAGCAGCACCTACAACATAAGAGCTTCACTTACTGGGAGAGTTGGACAGTGCAAGTCGGACCAGACTACTAGCGTTGGCATTGCGGACGATGTTGCTGCCGCTGCCTCCAGAGAGATTGCGGCGCGCTGCGGCAGCAAAAGTGTCGAGGAGGCTGGCAGTCTGCTCCATGCTGGTGGGGAGATTGGGGACGCTGACGCTCATCAGGTTGGTCGGGGAGCTGCGTGTCTGGGAGTCCGCCTTCTTGGCCGCCTCGTTCTTCGCCTGCTTTTCCCGGTTGGCGTTGGAAAGGTGGTGGACCTCCTTCACTCCACCCACGGCGCCCCGCACCGGCTCCTGGGCCACGTCCATCTCGCACGCCGTGTCCATCAAACCACACTCGCTGCTGCCCGCCATGTCCTCGCTGCCTCGGTGCACCACCACCACGGGGTCATTTGTCAGAGTTCTATCAGAGGACTCATCGGCCTGGTCCACTGTCACCATGACGATAGCATCCGAGCTGGCTCGATTCACCATACTCTCAGCAACATTCTCAGCGGCCTGCAAGGACAACAAGGACAACAACCCTGAGTGTCTTGTACTAAAGGATCCAAGGGAATAGTAGAATCATAATGCGGGTTGGTACATGTTATCACAATAAGAGCTGGTAAATGTTTTAGTTCAAGTTGTATCCCTGCAACACTCAAATATCTCCTACCTTCGAATGTCACACTATTGCCCATTCTTAATACTAGCAATACTAGGAAAATATAAATCATTACTATCTCACAACTTAACAATGCCTAACAAGTAGTGAATGTCTTAGCTACACAATGGCAACTTCTCTATTGGATGTAGTGAAGGGCCCTCACCTCCCTCACAGCCTTCATACTGGCCGTCAGATTCTCCGCAGAGGACGCCTGCTCTGTGCTGGCCACGGACGCCTTCGCCTCTGACACCTCGCTCAGACTCGGGGTCGAGCTACTCTTCCTGCTGGTCAGCACACTCACCTGGGAATAAGACCAGCGGGGCTACAATAGGACATTATCACAAAACAACACACTCACCTTTACATCATATGTCACAAAAATACTGCCTGTCAGAACATAATTGTTTACTAATAATATTTATCATATTTTGACAAAAAGTGGGTGTTGAAAGAACCCTTAAGATCAGCTTCAGATTGTTATCCTAGGTCAATATTGATGGTCAGATAGACTATATTGAAGGTCCTCAGATATTTCTACCAGTTCTTTCAAGCAAGTGTAACAGATTATTAGATGCAGATCTCCTTGATAGAAGCAGATCAAGCCTAGGACATAACCGGTGAACCTGTAGCCATGAAGTGTTGACCTCACCTTCACCTTGTCAGACACGGATGATCCAACTGTTCTGTTCTTGGCCATGCCTGTCGCAGTCTGCTCTGTCTTGGTGAACCGCAACTTGTCGGGGTCATGTGATGGAGCAAGGGCAAGGTCAAATTTCCCCTCGGCTCCCATCCTGTAGGAGTTGGAGCCACCAGCATCCCATGTAACATCCACCCAGCCTGCAGCAGACAACATCATCTACATCACCACCAACTTCCACAACCGTGACACCTCCTACATCACCACCATCTTCCACAACGGTGACACCTCCTACATCTACACCAACTTCTACAACGGTGACACCTCCTACATCTACACCAACTTCCACAACAGTGACACCTCCTACATCTACACCAACTTCTACAACAGTGACACCTCCTACATCACCACAATCTTCCACAACGGTGACACCTCCTACATCTACACCAACTTCCACAACAGTGACACCTCCTACATAACCACCATCTTCCACAACCGTGACACCTCCTACATAACCACCATCTTCCACAACGGTGACACCTCCTACATCTACACCAACTTCTACAACGGTGACACCTCCTACATCTACACCAACTTCTACAACGGTGACACCTCCTACATCTACACCAACTTCTACAACGGTGACACCTCCTACATCTACACCAACTTCCACAACAGTGACACCTCCTACATCTACACCAACTTCTACAACGGTGACACCTCCTACATCTATACCAACTTCTACAACAGTGACACCTCCTACATCACCACCATCTTCCACAACAGTGACACCTCCTACATCTACACCAACTTCTACAACGGTGACACCTCCTACATCTACACCAACTTCTACAACGGTGACACCTCCTACATCTACACCAACTTCTACAACGGTGACACCTCCTACATCTACACCAACTTCCACAACAGTGACACCTCCTACATCTACACCAACTTCTACAACAGTGACACCTCCTACATCACCACCATCTTCCACAACCGTGACACCTCCTACATAACCACCATCTTCCACAACGGTGACACCTCCTACATCTACACCAACTTCCACAACAGTGACACCTCCTACATCTACACCAACTTCTACAACGGTGACACCTCCTACATCTCCCCCAACTTCTACAACGGTGACACCTCCTACATCTACACCAACTTCCATACCAGTGACACCTCCTACATCTACACCAACTTCTATAACAGTGACACCTCCTACATCTACACCAACTTCCACAACAGTGACACCTCCTACATCTACACCAACTTCTACAACAGTGACACCTCCTACATAACCACCATCTTCCACAACCGTGACACCTCCTACATAACCACCATCTTCCACAACGGTGACACCTCCTACATCTACACCAACTTCCACAACAGTGACACCTCCTACATATACACCAACTTCTACAACGGTGACACCTCCTACATCTACACCAACTTCCACAACAGTGACACCTCCTACATCTACACCAACTTCTACAACGGTGACACCTCCTACATATACACCAACTTCCACAACGGTGACACCTCCTACATCTACACCAACTTCTACAACGGTGACACCTCCTACATCTCCCCCATCTTCCACAACGGTGACACCTCCTACATCACCACCATCTTCCACAACGGTGACACCTCCTACATCTACACCAACTTCCACAACAGTGACACCTCCTACATCTACACCAACTTCTATAACAGTGACACCTCCTACATATACACCAACTTCTACAACGGTGACACCTCCTACATCTACACCAACTTCCACAACAGTGACACCTCCTACATCTACACCAACTTCTACAACGGTGACACCTCCTACATCTCCCCCATCTTCCACAACGGTGACACCTCCTACATCACCACCATCTTCCACAACGGTGACACCTCCTACATCTACACCAACTTCTACAACAGTGACACCTCCTACATATACACCAACTTCTACAACGGTGACACCTCCTACATCTACACCAACTTCTACAACGGTGACACCTCCTACATCTACACCAACTTCCATACCAGTGACATCACCATCTACATCAGCACCAACTTCAACAACAGGGACACGTTCTACATCACCACCAATTTCCATACCAGTGACACGTCCTACACCTCAATCACCACCAACTTCCACGCCGGTGACACCGCCTACACACACATCACCACCTACTTCCACATAGGGACACCCCCTACACACAATGTCTGCCTGAGCAGATGTTCAGAGGAGTGAGTGAGTTGGATTAAGGTAGCTTTCAACAGTGTTTATGTCAACTCCCAGAATGACTGCTTGGTGTGGGAGGAATGTCAACAGTGACACCAGTCTCAGGAATGTCCTGGTGCAGCCAACTGGGACGCCTCAAACTACAAGCCATCAGCAGTAGCACCCCCACCCTGGTCCATCACTTAAGATGAACAACACCACGACGACCACCCAGGCATTGTTCAGTAGATGAGACCAGGGTCCGACAGTGAGACTACAAGCCATCAGCAGTAGCACCCCCACCCTGGTCCATCACTTAAGATGAACAACACCATGACAACCACCCAAGCATTGTTCCGTAGATGAGACCAGGGTCTGACAGTGAGACAGACAGGCAGTGGGGTGAACCGACTGTCAGGCTCCTCACCATTATGTAGCTCCCCCGTGACGAGCCCCTCCCCCGGGGGACTGCCGTCCTGGTCCCGCCACTTCCAGTCCATCCCTCGCACCACCCTCGCACCCGGCATCATCTGCTTCAGCACGTGGGTCCGCAGGATCCGCCGCTGCCGTCGCAGGTTTGCCTCGGCTTCGCGGGCTGCCTTGCCTGAAACATGTTTTGTTTGTTTAATTTGTTTGTTGTTTAACACCACACTCAGCAATATACCAACTATATGAAGGTGGGCTGTAAATAATCGAGTCTGGACCAGACAATCCAGTGACTGACATGAGCATTGATCCATGCAATTGGGATATGATCACATGTATCAACCAAGTCAGCGAGCCTGACCATTCATTACCGTTAGTCACCTCTTACGACACGCATAGTCACCTTTTATGGCAAGCAAGGGTTGCTGAAGACCTATTCTACCCCGGATCTTCACGGATGTACCTGAAACATGTATAGTACTGTGACAGGTGAATATTCTTCAGTGTCCGGCATCAAGCTGGGTCCTGGAATGCTTGAAGTTTGTTCCACTAGTATTTGTGTCTAGGGATCCCCTGAATGTATAACCTTATACAAAAGGGTTATCTCCCTTTGGAAAATCTTGGTTAGAAATGGTCATCTTTGTCATAAGAGGTGACTGACTCTCCGACCTTGTTGGTGTAGATCGATGCTCATGATCTTATTACCGCCATCGAACAGCTGGAATATTGAGGAGTTGGGCATTTAGACAAAGAAGTGTTGTGACAAGGACCCCCAGTGGAACACTGGTATTCCAGTCCGGGCATCTTCCCAAAGCAAGAGACTTAACTGACTATAAAAGTCCAGTTTCCACCCATGCCAAACTAGGCTGGTATTATGGAGTTACAGTTTGGCCGGACTTAAGAGTTTTATCACAATACAGATCTTGATTATCGATCAGATCATCTTGACTAGGCGCCACCATTTTGTTTGAAACAAATGAAAGTGATACAAGAGGTGGAATCTAATTTGTCCATAGGAGATCGAGCCCAGGAATTCCAGCCTAGTTCGGCAAGGGTGGAAACTGGACTTTTAAAATCAGTTAACTCCCTTGCCTCAGAATATGGTGTTCGGGGTACTGACAGCACCTTACACCAAACAAGTACAACCAGGAATTCTCTGGGAGAAAAGGAAACATTTTATGAAATCTTATCCCTCACAACCAAATATGAGTTAATGTGTGCAAGTCTGTACTTTTCTACTAACACAACCTTAAGGATCTTGTCAAAACTGGGAGGTTATGAACCAATACTATTTTGATAGAGCTGTGTAGACACCTACCTATATCATCACAGACACCTACCTATATCATCACAGACACCTACCTATATCATCACAGACACCTACCTATATCATCACAGACACCGGTGACAGTCCCGTAGATCTCAAAGCCTGACAGGGAGAGGTAGTGAGTCTGGCCACTAGCGTTCTTCCCGGTCTGGTGTAGACGCACGTGACGCCAGCCCTGCTTCTCATCCTTGGGAGCCTCCACCGGCCACGACGCTGTCGACCTGCACAGATGGGGAACATTTCTATAGAAACAAACTCGCCAACTTCACCGTCAGATTGACACCACCGTCAGGCTGAAACACCATCGTCTGAATGACACCACCAAGAGGTTGACACAGGCCACATACATCCCTCCATACATCATACAGCCCTCCAAACATCATACAGGCCACATACAGCCCTCCATTCATCATACAGGCTACATACACCCCTCCATACATCATACAGGCCACATACAGTCCTCCATACATCATACAGGCCACATACAGTCCTCCATACATCATACAGGCCACATACAGCCCTCCATACATCATACAGCCCTCCATACATCATACAGGCCACATACAGCCCTCCATACATCATACAGGCCACATACAGTCCTCCATACATCATACAGGCCACATACAGCCCTCCATACATCATACAGCCCTCCATACATCATACAGGCCACATACAGCCCTCCATACATCATACAGGCCACATACAGTCCTCCATACATCATACAGCCCTCCATACATCATACAGGCCACATACAACCCTCCATACATCATACAGGCCACATACATCCCTCCATACATCATACAGGCCACATACAGCCCTCCATACATCATACAGGCCACATACAGTCCTCCATACATCATACAGGCCACATACAGCCCTCCATACATCATACAGGCCACATACAGCCCTCCATACATCATACAGGCCACATACAGCCCTCCATACATCATACAGGCCACATACATCCCTCCATACATCATACAGGCCACATACAGCCCTCCATACATCATACAGGCCACATACAGCCCTCCATACATCATACAGGCCACATACAGCCCTCCATACATCATACAGGCCACATACAGCCCTCCATACATCATACAGGCCACATACAGCCCTCCATACATCATATAGGCCACATACAGCCCTCCATACATAATGGCCAAAACATCAAAATGGTTGCTTGTGTATAACACTGCAATGCTTTTTCATCACTGTGGAACTTTTCACCTTTCACTCACAGAATCACCAGGGGGCAAGATCGACAAGTGAACAATGTCAACGTTACAAGGGGCCTTGAACAACTTCATTTCTGAGTAATACTGGGCTGTTATCTGAAAGAGGGTTAGAGGTTACACGGGTCCCCATGGTTTTAACATCGGTCTAAAGCTCTAGACATGCTTCTCTGATACAATGCCTTCATTCCACAATGATTATCTTCAACTTGTGTACTGACCCTGGTTCGTTGAGCGAGCAGTCGTCGGTGTGGTGGTAGAGTGTCTGCCAGGTGATTCCATCCTTCGACATCTGGTAGTTCCAGTTGCGCAGTGCCGATCTGTAAAGTTAATGATATCATGGTCAGACCAACTCCCTTCAACACTGTTACTTGGCAAGAATATTCAATGACAACAAATGCTTGCCATTTGACTTTATTTAACTGTTCACATTCTCACTGAACCAGAGCATCGTCTCCACTAAAGACGAAGACACAGCAGACAGCAGCACCACCTGAATATCACCCTCACACTAGCAACAATCTGGACACAATCTGGGTCATTTCTTTTTAGTCTGCTATGCTCAGCTTATGACAGCCCATACACTGAAAGTAACATTCATTGACTATGATGTCAGAGTACAAGTTCAGGTTTGGGGAGGATTGTAAATTAACAATAGAAAATGTAAGAGTGTTACAGAAAGAACAACAAACGTCAGTGCGAGAATACTTACTTTCCGTATCCCCTGGCGTGGCGGAGCGTGTAGCATGTTGGGATGATCCACACGCCCAGGTCGATGGCGAACCACGCTTTCCTGCAAGTACCATTCAGCAGCAATGTAGACGTGTAATGTGTGGGTGGGTGAAAACTGGGCATCACGCCACTACAGTACTTCAGTTACATCAATGTGTCAGCCTAATGTTGGGGGGAGAGCCTGGAGTGATGCAGGTCAAAGATGTGTACAGCACTGTGGTGAAACCCATGAGTGTGAGGGCTGACAAAACCATGGATCATAGATGTCCTTGTGAACACACAGTACTTTATGTATGATCACCCAGAACTAAATGTATGATCACCCAGTACTTTATGTATGATCACCCAGAACTTAATGCATGATCACCCAGTACTTTATGTACGATCACCCAGTACTCTATGTATGATCACCCAGTACTCTACGTATGATCACCCAGTACTTTATGTATGATCACCCAGTACTTTATGTATGATCACCCAGTACTTTATGTATGATCACCCAGTACTCTATGTATGATCACCCAGTACTTTATGTATGATCACCCAGTACTTTATGTATGATCACCCAGTACTTTATGTATGATCACCCAGTACTTTATGTGTGATCACCCAGTACTTTATGTATGATCACCCAGTACTTTATGTATGATCACCCAATACTTTATGTATGATCACCCAGTACTTTATGTATGATCACCCAGTACTTTATGTATGATCACCCAGTACTTTATGTGTGATCACCCAGTACTTTATGTATGATCACCCAGTACTTTATGTATGATCACCCAATACTTTATGTATGATCACCCAGTACTTTATGTATGATCACCAAGCACTCTATGTATGATCACCCAGTACTTTATGTATGATCACCCAGTACTTTATGTATGATCGACCAGTACTCTATGTGTGATCACCCAGTACTTTATGTATGATCACCCAGTACTCTATGTATGATCACCCAGTACTTTATGTATGATCACCCAGTACTCTATGTGTGATCACCCAGTACTTTATGTATGATCACCCAGTACTTTACGTATGATCACCCAGTACTCTATGTATGATCAGTGTCATCGTTGGTGGGGTGTGTATATACATACTTGTCATCATTGGTGTGGCAGTTTAGGGCAGCACTGTCCCTACACAGTATGTCCTCCAGTTTGCCGTACGGCAGATTGCGGCCCTCGGACGACGTGACGACCACCAGGCCATACTGAGCAGGGTTCACCCACTCGTAGGCAGTTCTGGAACAAACAAAGATTCCGATTGGTCCAATTATTAAACAAGCAGAGCTAGGCCCTGTTCCACATAGTGACCTTAGAGCTACGGGCATCGTGTTGAAAGTACAGGACTGACGATCTTATAGTTTTATCATAGAGAGTGTTCTGGCTGATACAAGTGTCAACATTTATCACAAAAGTGTTACTACTAAATGTTCCACCAATACAAAACATTTGCATCTGCTAATTGTAAATCAACTTTCAGAGTTACTTTAGTTTGAGATTGGCCACTTTACCTGGCAGCAGAGATTAATGCTCAACTTTGGGTCATCAATTCTACTTGTAAGGTGATAAATGCATGTCTTCAGTAACCATCTATCCTAAAATACATCCTTGGTATGATGGTCTCATGGGAAAAAACATTCATGTACCTACTTTTTATATTCAGGGGACAGTTCTCATCCTCAGAGAACATTAAATGTTAAATGTTGATACATTTCTGGGAACCGTCTGCCTCAAGTAAACATGGAAGCTAAGCCTCTGTGAATATATTTACACCTGGCTGTATAATGACGTGTTTACTGTTTGTCTGAAGATACCATGTGTTCCCTACCTTGCGTTGGTGCCTTACACCTGGCTGTATAATGACGTGTTTACTGTTTGTCTGAAGATACCATGTGTTCCCTACCTTGCGTTGGTGCCTTACACCTGGCTGTATAATGACGTGTTTACTGTTAGTCTGAAGATACCATGTGTTCCCTACCTTGCGTTGGTGCCTTACACCTGGCTGTATAATGATGTGTTTACTGTTAGTCTGAAGAAACCATGTGTTCCCTACCTTGCGTTGGTGCCTTACACCTGGCTGTTTAATGACGTGTTTACTGTTAGTCTGAAGATACCATGTGTTCCCAACCTTGCGTTGGTGCCTTACACCTGGCTGTATAATGACGTGTTTACTGTTAGTCTGAAGATACCATGTGTTCCCTACCTTGCGTTGGTGCCTTACACCTGGCTGTATAATGACGTGTTTACTGTTAGTCTGAAGATACCATGTGTTCCCTACCTTGCGTTGGTGCCTTACACCTGGCTGTATAATGACGTGTTTACTGTTAGTCTGAAGATACCATGTGTTCCCTACCTTGCGTTGGTGTCTTACACCTGGCTGTATAATGACGTGTTTACTGTTAGTCTGAAGATACCATGTGTTCCCTACCTTGCGTTGGTGCCTTACACCTGGCTGTATAACAACGTGTTTACTGTTTGTCTGAAGATACCATGTGTTCCCTACCTTGCGTTGGTGCCTTACACCTGGCTGTATAATGACGTGTTTACTGTTAGTCTGAAGATACCATATGTTCCCTACCTTGCGTTCGTGCCTTACACCTGGCTGTATAACGACGTGTTTACTGTTAGTCTGAAGATACCATGTGTTCCCTACCTTGCGTTGGTGCCTTACACCTGGCTGTATAATGACGTGTTTACTGTTTGTCTGAAGATACCATGTGTTCCCTACCTTGCGTTGGTGCCTTACACCTGGCTGTATAATGACGTGTTTACTGTTAATCTGAAGATACCATGTGTTCCCTACCTTGCGTTGGTGCCTTACACCTGGCTGTATAATGACGTGTTTACTGTTAGTCTGAAGATACCATATGTTCCCTACCTTGCGTTGGTGCCTTACACCTGGCTGTATAATGACGTGTTTACTGTTAGTCTGAAGATACCATGTGTTCCCTACCTTGCGTTGGTGCCTTACACCTGGCTGTATAATGACGTGTTTACTGTTAGTCTGAAGATACCATGTGTTCCCTACCTTGCGTTGGTGCCTTACACCTGGCTGTATAATGACGTGTTTACTGTTAGTCTGAAGATACCATATGTTCCCTACCTTGCGTTGGTGCCTTACACCTGGCTGTATAATGACGTGTTTACTGTTTGTCTGAAGATACCATGTGTTCCCTACCTTGCGTTGGTGCCTTACACCTGGCTGTATAATGACGTGTTTACTGTTAGTCTGAAGATACCATGTGTTCCCTACCTTGCGTTGGTGCCTTACACCTGGCTGTATAATGATGTGTTTACTGTTAGTCTGAAGAAACCATGTGTTCCCTACCTTGCGTTGGTGCCTTACACCTGGCTGTTTAATGACGTGTTTACTGTTAGTCTGAAGATACCATGTGTTCCCTACCTTGCGTTGGTGCCTTACACCTGGCTGTATAATGATGTGTTTACTGTTAGTCTGAAGATACCATGTGTTCCCTACCTTGCGTTGGTGCCTTACACCTGGCTGTATAATGACGTGTTTACTGTTAGTCTGAAGATACCATATGTTCCCTACCTTGCGTTGGTGCCTTACACCTGGCTGTATAATGACGTGTTTACTGTTAGTCTGAAGATACCATGTGTTCCCTACCTTGCGTTGGTGCCTTACACCTGGCTGTATAATGACGTGTTTACTGTTAGTCTGAAGATACCATGTGTTCCCTACCTTGCGTTGGTGCCTTACACCTGGCTGTATAATGATGCGTTTACTGTTAGTCTGAAGATACCATGTGTTCCCTACCTTGCGTTGGTGCCTTACACCTGGCTGTTTAATGACGTGTTTACTGTTAGTCTGAAGATACCATGTGTTCCCTACCTTGCGTTGGTGTCTTACACCTGGCTGTATAATGACGTGTTTACTGTTTGTCTGAAGATACCATATGTTCCCTACCTTGCGTTGGTGCCTTACACCTGGCTGTTTAATGACGTGTTTACTGTTAGTCTGAAGATACCATGTGTTCCCTACCTTGCGTTGGTGCCTTACACCTGGCTGTATAATGACGTGTTTACTGTTAGTCTGAAGATACCATGTGTTCCCTACCTTGCGTTGGTGCCTTACACCTGGCTGTATAATGACGTGTTTACTGTTAGTCTGAAGATACCATGTGTTCCCTACCTTGCGTTGGTGCCTTACACCTGGCTGTATAATGATGCGTTTACTGTTAGTCTGAAGATACCATGTGTTCCCTACCTTGCGTTGGTGCCTTACACCTGGCTGTTTAATGACGTGTTTACTGTTAGTCTGAAGATACCATGTGTTCCCTACCTTGCGTTGGTGCCTTACACCTGGCTGTATAATGACGTGTTTACTGTTAGTCTGAAGATACCATGTGTTCCCTACCTTGCGTTGGTGTCTTACACCTGGCTGTATAATGACGTGTTTACTGTTAGTCTGAAGATACCATGTGTTCCCTACCTTGCGTTGGTGCCTTACACCTGGCTGTATAATGACGTGTTTACTGTTAGTCTGAAGATACCATGTGTTCCCTACCTTGCGTTGGTGCCTTACACCTGGCTGTATAATGACGTGTTTACTGTTAGTCTGAAGATACCATGTGTTCCCTACCTTGCGTTGGTGCCTTACACCTGGCTGTATAATGATGCGTTTACTGTTAGTCTGAAGATACCATGTGTTCCCTACCTTGCGTTGGTGTCTTACACCTGGCTGTATAATGACGTGTTTACTGTTAGTCTGAAGATACCATGTGTTCCCTACCTTGCGTTGGTGCCTTACACCTGGCTGTATAATGACGTGTTTACTGTTAGTCTGAAGATACCATGTGTTCCCTACCTTGCGTTGGTGCCTTACACCTGGCTGTTTAATGACGTGTTTACTGTTAGTCTGAAGATACCATGTGTTCCCTACCTTGCGTTGGTGCCGACCCAGTAGAGGAGGCCGTGTTCATCAAAGTCATGCTGGTGGACGAACGTAATGGGGCAGTCATTCTCCTTCAACTTCTTCACAAAGTTGAAGGTCACCCGCTCGTAGTCGTACCATTGCTTAGCAACCTGTACACAATACAAGTCAGTCATTCCATTGCTTAGCAACCTGTACACAATACAAGTCAGTCATTCCATTGCTTAGCAACCTGTTCACAATACACCGGTCAGTCATTCCTTTGCTTAGCAACCTGTACACAGTACAACAGTCAGTCATTCCATTGCTTAGCAACCTGTACACAATACAACAGTCAGGCATTCCATTGCTTAGCAACCTGTACACAATTCAACAGTCATTCCATTGCTTAGCTACCTGTACACAGTACAACAGTCAGTCATTCCATTGCTTAGCAACCTGTATACAGTACAACAGTCGGGCATTCCATTGCTTAGCAACCTGTACACAATACAACAGTCATTCCATTGCTTAGCAACCTGTACACAATACAACAGACAGCTAGCTAACACATCATTATTTCTTTCAGGGTGATACATAGAGCATTTTGTGTTTGATATAAAATCACAGACAATTTATATTTAAATTTCTTTGTCACCTGGACAGACTGATGCTCACCATTTTCAGCAGGTATCTCTCCAGGTCTGACACCGTGGTCAGTGGCTCCATCTTCAGACTGCGGCCGGTTCTGTCTATCAGAGTAGTCTCCCCTGTTGACCTCTCCAGCCTGAACCTCAGCCTCCTTGTTAATATCTACAGAAAACAGCAGTGTAAGACACCTGCAACCACGACATCTTACAACTGTTTCACAAATCCTATCTGTCTGGACCAGTGGTCAACACTTTTGAGATTATTCAAGGATACAAACAGTATTTCAAAGGAACGAAAATCCAGACTGAGGTCTGTCAGCGTGTACATTATTTCCAATCATTTGATAGCAAGAGCAACACAAAGCACCGACCACACATCAATATATGGTAGTCATGTGTATACTCCAGTATCAACCAAGCACTGTCTTTAGGCTAGGCTCCCTCACTCTACCAAGCACTGTCTTTAGGCTCCCTCACTCTACCAAGCACTGTCTTTAGGCTCCCTCACTCTACCAAGCACTGTCTTTAGGCTCCCTCACTCTACCAAGCACTGTCTTTAGGCTCCCTCACTCTACCAAGCACTGTCTTTAGGCTCCCTCACTCTACCAAGCACTGTCTCTAGGCTCCCTCACTCTACCAAGCACTGTCTTTAGGCTCCCTCACTCTACCAAGCACTGTCTTTAGGCTCCCTCACTCTACCAAGCACTGTCTTTAGGCTCCCTCACTCTACCAAGCACTGTCTTTAGGCTCCCTCACTCTACCAAGCACTGTCTTTAGGCTCCCTCACTCTACCAAGCACTGTCTTTAGGCTCCCTCACTCTACCAAGCACCGTCTCTAGGCTCCCTCACTCTACCAAGCACTGTCTCTAGGCTCCCTCACTCTACCAAGCACTGTCTCTAGGCTCCCTCACTCTACCAAGCACTGTCTTTAGGCTCCCTCACTCTACCAAGCACTGTCTTTAGGCTCCCTCACTCTACCAAGCACCGTCTCTAGGCTCCCTCACTCTACCAAGCACTGTCTTTAGGCTCCCTCACTCTACCAAGCACTGTCTTTAGGCTCCCTCACTCTACCAAGCACTGTCTTTAGGCTCCCTCACTCTACCAAGCACTGTCTCTAGGCTCCCTCACTCTACCAAGCACTGTCTTTAGGCTCCCTCACTCTACCAAGCACCGTCTCTAGGCTCCCTCACTCTACCAAGCACTGTCTCTAGGCTCCCTCACTCTACCAAGCACTGTCTCTAGGCTCCCTCACTCTACCAAGCACTGTCTCTAGGCTCCCTCACTCTACCAAGCACTGTCTCTAGGCTCCCTCACTCTACCAAGCACCGTCTCTAGGCTCCCTCACTCTACCAAGCACTGTCTCTAGGCTCCCTCACTCTACCAAGCACTGTCTCTAGGCTCCCTCACTCTACCAAGCACTGTCTCTAGGCTCCCTCACTCTACCAAGCACTGTCTCTAGGCTCCCTCACTCTACCAAGCACTGTCTCTAGGTTCCCTCACTCTACCAAGCACTATCTCTAGGCTCCCTCACTCTACCAAGCACTGTCTCTAGGCTCCCTCACTCTACCAAGCACTGTCTTTAAGCTCCATCACTCTACCAAGCACTGTCTTTAGGCTCCCTCACTCTACCAAGCACTGTCTTTAAGCTCCATCACTCTACCAAGCACTGTCTTTAGGCTAGGCTCCCTCACTCTACCCAGCACTGTCTCTAGGCTCCCTCACTCTACCAAGCACTGTCTCTAGGCTCCATCACTCTACCAAGCACTGTCTTTAGGTTCCATCACTCTACCAAGCACTGTCTCTAGGCTCCACTACTCTACCAAGCACTGTCTCTAGGCTCCCTCACTCTACCAAGCACTGTCTTTAGGCTAGGCTCCCTTACTCTACCAAGCACTGTCTCTAGGCTCCCTCACTCTACCAAGCACTGTCTCTAGGCTCCCTCACTCTACCAAGCACTGTCTTTAGGCTAGGCTCCCTTACTCTACCAAGCACTGTCTCTAGGCTCCCTCACTCTACCAAGCACCGTCTCTAGGCTCTCTCACTCTACCAAGCACTGTCTCTAGGCTCCCTCACTCTACCAAGCACTGTCTCTAGGCTCCCTCACTCTACCAAGCACCGTCTCTAGGCTCTCTCACTCTACACTAACAAGCTCCCACAGTGGGTGGGCACCTTGTCTTACCTGCAGTCCGTACCCAGACCCTGGCAGGTCGTATGTAAACACCGGCAGCTTCTCGATGGACTCCAGTGCTGAGATGAGTTTCCTCGTCAACTGGATTGCTGGAGCGACACTGGATAAACACATAAACAACAGATTTGTGACGTCACCTCGTCATGGACTCTTGGACACAACAAAAAGGGAACTATTGCCAACAAGAGTCATCAGAAGATGACAAATCCCCCCATCTCCCACAAAAGGCACCACTTCAGCCCCTGGTTAATACATGTACTAAGTTTTGATTAAAAATGTTTAAATTACGCTGTGGAAACAAAATACAGACGGATGTTTGACAGACAGACAACATGATGACTCTATCCCCACACATTATATGCTGTGTGTGTGTGTGTGTGTGTGTGTGTGTGTGTGTGTGTGTGTGTGTGTGTGTGTGTGTGTGTGTGTGTGTGTGTGTGTGTGTGTGTGTGTGTGTGTGTGATATCAATACACTGGCAACATGCAGTCAGTGAGTAGAATGACAGTTCTCCTGCCACAGTTGTATCACTACTCCGCAGAGAGCTCCAGTCAACAAGGACCCTGATCACATGTTTGACCATTCTGAAGTCTACATCTTGCAGTTGAACTAAAATGTCCGATCCGATCTGGATGAACTATATGGGCAATGGTCTACTTATAACTATAACTAACTTCTATACTAGTTGTGTAATGTATCAGTCATAAATGTTTTCTTTATATAGAAGCAAGCAAGAGAGAAGATGTATTGACACAAACATAAGATATTCCAGACACGACAGAAGATGTGGAGAAATGGTACAGAATCTGACAACATGCGCAGTACTGAATACTGGAATGCAAGCATCAAACTAAAGGAGATGAAATAACGGAACAGTACAGGAAGTATCAATACTGAAATGTCCTACTGCCATACAAGGAGAAGACAGCAGGGAGAGAGTGAGACAAGTCTTACCCGTCCTCAGTCAGTCTTGAAACAAAGAAATTCCCCATCAATCACATGTATTAACATTCACAGGCATGGTGAAGCACACTCATTACACAGTTCTCTTCAAAAAAACAACTTGTACAAGTACAATTAATTTGACTCAGAAAAAACTTCAGGGTTGCCTACCTCTCCTTTTCGTGAAAGACGGTCTTGAAGATGTTTATTCTATCTTTAGTCCTCTTCTTGCTCTCCTTGGTTTGAATATCTTCTATGTTCTGAGAAGTAGAAAACAAACACACAGTAACCAGGTGCACAGATTGTACATCTGTTTACTGATGACTGTGTTAGTGTAAGGAAGGAGGTGAGGTGAGGTGAGGTAAGGTGAAATTGGGTTTAACGTCGCGTCCAAGATTATTGCACTTATATAGCGACGTGCATGCACGTGTTTGCGTGGCTGCTTGTACTAGTCCGGACTGATGCTGATTTATAGTGCTAGCTCACTGAGATACCATGCCGCAGTTTAACATGAATACCCCACTCAGACACAGTATACTGACTCCGAGCCGACCAGTCCTTGTTTTAGCCCCTTTATGCCGAGCGCCAGACAGGGTAACAACAAGTACCATCTTTTAACCTCTTTTGGTATGACGCGGCCGGGGATCAAACCCCGGACCTTCCGCTCTCCAGGCAGACGCTCTACCACAAGACCATGGAGGCGGCCGTGTAACGAAGGAAGAGAAGGAGGGAGGGAGGTACAGCTAGCACTTCACATCAACATCTGGTCTAGTATGTTTACCCATTTAATATGGGCTGTCAGAATAGTGGTTCAGGTTGTAGAGTGGACGTGTCGCCTGTACACAACTCCAAGTCATGCTACATGCCACAATGAGGTCTACAGATGTCAGTACTTACGTTGTTGAGGACGTTGAGCATGGTCTGGACGAGGCCGCTACTGTAAAGTTCGAAGGAGGAGATGGTGTGCTCATCCTTCAGCAGCGACACCAACTCCTCCAGCGCACTGCGCATCTCCTGCCGCCACGTCACGTCTCCATTTGTACACTGCACAAACACAACAATCATAATGAACAGAGTTAGGTAACAACAGTGATTCAGTTCCACTTAAAACAGGGCGGAGTCGGAAGTGCTGCAGACCCTAGATGTCATCACCATGGTGCATCCCCCGGATGGGATGACATACAGCGATCAGAAGGCTGCCGAATCTGGGATGGGAACCCACATAGTTACGTTTGTGACTGGCATGTAGAAGCTGGCATGTAGAAGCTGGCATGTAGAAGCTGGCATGTAGAAGCTGGCACAATATGCCGACGTGAAACGGAAAACCTCCTTCTTGGTTCTGGCTATGTCTTGCAACATCTTTGTGATCAAAATTGTAAAAATAATTTGTAGTTTTATTGAAGTTCAAACAAACTTAAGCCTACCCAAAGGGTTTTCTTGACCGAAGGTTACTGAGTAATCCATATTCATGAGATGTGGATTTGCATACTTAACATTTTGTAGAATTTTCCTATTCGGAATATTCTATAAGTAATACGTTACCACTGTTATACCGAGGCTGTTGTCTCCCACAACTGCTGCTATAGCGAAATCTACCACAGAGATCTCAATTACCTCATGCAGCACGTGCGTAGCCACCTAGCTGCCATGTGACACCCTTCACTCTTGTCTCCTGCGAGAGCAAGTGCTCGGGGGACGGACGGGCGGGCAGCAGCCCAGTGGTAACGTATTACTTATAGAATATTCCGAATAGGAAAATTCTACAAATTACATTAAGTAATACGTTACCACTGTTATACCGAGGCTGACTACCACAGTAGGCAGTGGGGAGCACCTACAACCCGAATCCTGACTGCTAGCGTTCCTTCCGACCAGCGGAAGTAAACACCAAGGCGGAAGCACTCGATGCGCATGCACCTAGCTAGGCGTTACCCTATAGGAATACCAAAGCACTGTCATGCGCATACCGTAAGGCTCAATCGTCATTGCCAAAACGATTGGTGACTCCAAACGGCCCCACTGGATAGGTATTTCATCGCCGCAGCGGATGAGAACACTGTATCCGCGTGAGCTAAATCTTAGATCAGGTTAAACAGTCGAAAAGAGGGAAATTAATTTCCTTCAGACCGTATATCCCAGAGCAAGCCTACTGAAAGTATGCATTAGGCGCGTGACCTAATTCCAGTATTCGTAAGCATGTATCACAAGGTTGGAATACACGACAGACAATTAAATGCATAATTGTCAAAATACAAATAAGGACAAAACACACAAAAAGCCGCCTCACCTGTGGTGTGAGTGCGCTGGTTTGCAGGACCCCCACTCCTGTACCCACGGCGTGGGAACATTGGAGACGACCCAGATTGACCACCGTGCAAGGACTGACGACTGCGGAGTTTGCAATTGCGCTGGACACACCCCCTAGATGACCGCTTGTGCCGCGATCAGCGGCCCAAGACGGTGCACCCCCTCCACGTCTTCATCAGAAACCTTTCTGAGGTAATGATTGGCAAAAACCGAGTCAGAACGCCAGTAACAACCTCGTAATATTCTGTGAACAGAGATATTCGAGTGTAGGGCAAATGTTGCCGCTAGCGCCCTGATCTCGTGCGGGTTTGACCCCGCTACCGGTAACCCCCGAGACCGGTACGCCAGATTGATGACAGAACGAAGCCACAACGCAATCGAGTTGCGAGTTATGTCAACCGTGCGATTAGGGTTACACGATATGAACAGACGGTCACGCCCTTGTCTGCGTTCATTCGAAGCCTTAAGATAATACTTAAGGGCCCTAACCGGACACAGCGCTCTGTCCTCAGTATCAGCAGGATGTAAGATTTCTTTGAGTGATCTTACAGTGAATTCTCTCTCCGCTTGCCCGACTCTCTGATTCTTGGCGACGAAGCCCATGAGCAGGCCCAGGCGGACCGCTCCTTCGTCACCCCTATCGAATCGTACCTTGGCGACATCGAGTGCATGAATTTCGGATACACGTGCCACCGTGGCAAAGGAGAGGAGAAATGCTGTTTTCCAAGTCACATGCCGGAACGAAGCACTATGCAAGGGTTCATACGGAGCTTCCGTAAGTGATTGCAACACTAGGGAAAGATCCCAGGCCGGTGCCCGAAGGCGGCCCTTCTTAAGATCGTGCTGTTTGAAACCCTTGATAATACCCCGTATCACCGGCTCTTTGGAGAGACTGGTACCCATAGCAACATCCCGTACCGTAGCAACGGACGAGACATAGTTGGCAATGGAACCCCCGGAGAGTTTCCGGGTCTCTCGCAAGTGAGACATGAAACGAGCAATATCCTGCACAGATACCTTATCTGGCGAATGAATGTGATGTTTACAACACCACTTCGTGAAAATAACCCAACGTGCATTATACACCTTCTGGGTAGAATCACGATGCATACTAACGTATGCCCGAGACGCCCCGGCGAGAAAAACCTTTACTCCTCAGACGCTCGGTGACAACATCCACGCGTGCAGATTGAACTGCCCTGCGTTTGGATGAAGCTGACGGGTGTGAGGGTGGATCAAGAGATCCGGTCTCACAGGCAGTGGGAGTGGCGACTGCGTGACCTGGGCCAGCAAGTCGGGGTACCACGATCTGTTCGGCCACATGGGCGCGATCAGTAACATTCGACAGCGAACTCCTCGAAGCCGGCTTAGAATGTGTGGTATCAACGCTGTCGGCAGGTAAGCATAAGCGTCCAAGCCCGTCCAGTCTAACGCGAGAGCATCGTGATCGATGGCCCTCGGGTCCGGGACTGGTGATACAAACAACGGGAGTTGATTGTTGAACCGCGTTGCGAACAGGTCGACCATCGGACGACCCAAACGTTCGCACAGCCACTGAAACACTACTGGGTTCAGCATCCACTCTGTGGGGCTCGGATCCCGAGGCCTCGATAGAGCATCGGCCAGTACGTTCCGCACACCTGGGATGTGACGGGCGCGTATCTGGCACGGGACACTGTCCACCAGAGCGTAAAACTCGAACGTGAGATCGAGCAGCGAGTGACTGTGGGTTCCCCCCAGTTTGTTCACATAGGACACTACCGTCGTGTTGTCGGTCGCCAGCATGAGCCGGGCGTCGACGAGACGATGCTTCCAGTGATTGACTGCGTTGATCACTGCCTTGAACTCGAGACAATTGATGTGAAGACCTAGTTCGTCTACGCACCACAGCCCCGAGCTCACCTCCCCCTCTAGATGGGCGCCCCAGCCCACTAGAGAGGCGTCTGTATACAGGTTCAACGTGGCCCGGTAGGGCCGCATAGAGACTCCTGATAAGACATTGTAAGGGACCGTCCACCACTCCAGATGCGGTCGGAGCCGATCCGGGAGGGCGACGGTCGCACTGTTCACCTCCGTTGCTAACAACTGGATTAAAAACCGTTGCAGCGGGCGGAGTTGGAGACGACCCCGTACGGTGCAGTCCTGGGCTGATACAAGTAGCCCTAACAGCTGTTCCCAAAAGTGAACAGTCTGTTGCACCGCTAAGACTTTGGCAATCATCGCCTGAATTTTGTGCCACCGGTCTGGGGGGACAAATAGGCGATGGGACACCGTGTTGAACCGACCTCCGATGAACTGCAAGTTCTGAGAAGGGGTTAACTCGCTCTTGGGGAGATTGACAATCCACCCCAATTGCTCCAAGAGCCGACGTGCGAAAACGAGATGGCGTGACAGGGTGTCCGACATTCGATTTGCTACTAGCGAGTCGTCCAGGTACGCGAAGTACCGGACACCCCTCCGGTGGAGGAACCCCACTATGGGGGTGGTTAACCGGGTGAACAGCCAGGGAGCGGACGAAAGACCGAATGGGAGTACAACCCACTCGTAGTGCCTGCCTTGAAAGACAAACCTGAGATACCTGTGATGATCCGAGTGAATCGGAACATGCAGATAAGCATCCTTCAGGTCGATCGAAGCTAGCCAGTCGGCCGGCATGATCAGTGCTTTCAGGTCCGTCAAGCTCAACATTCTGAACTTGGGCGGCTTGCGCAGGTAGAACTCGTTGAACGATTTCAAGTTGTGAATCATTCTGAGTTCGGCACTGTCCTTCTTGGGAACGAGAAATATCCTGGAGTAAAACCCCGGTGTTATTTCTGGTAGAGCTGCCCTCTTCTCCACCAACCTGCCGATGGCATCGGCGAGGAAGGGAAGATCGGTTTCCGAATAGAAACCTGCCGACGGGGCAACGGTGAGCGGCGGATTCGCTTTGAGATCGAGCCGATAGCCGTACCGAATCGTGTTGACCACCCACGGGTCGTCGAACACTTGTTCCCAATTCTCCCAGTAAGTCTGGAGTCTGGCTCCCACTGGGGAAAGAGAGGGGGGCCGGACGGGCTGCGGCAGGCGCAACTGTCCAGGGCCGTGTGACTCGGGTTCGCCTACGGGCCAACCGAAGTTGGCGCTGTCGGCATACGAACCCCTCCACTGAGAGTCACCTGGAGGGGCCCTTGCCGTCCTTAGACGACTTGGGCTTCCCCCAGTTCCCCTTCTTCCCGCGAAAGGGCTGCTGAGAACCCTTACCGGAGCCCTCAGAGCGGGGCTTCTTCCCGGAGGAAGAAGGACCCGACCCCTTAGGCCTGCCGGACGCAGCAACCTGGGGCGCGCTCCGCTTCGGAGCGGCACCCAGGCGCCTATGCAAGGACCCCACAAGATCCAGTGTGTGCCGAGAGGCCTCGGCAGACACAGCGGCCTGTTGTTCCTTCAGAACCCCAGGGATCTTGTTATTAAACAGGGTCCGAGCAGACCAAGGCTGCGAAAGGAGCACCTCCTGATTGGCAGCGTCCAACCCTGAAGCAACCAGATACGACTGGCGCCGAAGAAAATGGCACGTGCCGGAAACAAAGGCCGAAGCCCCGGCAACGTACTCCAGGGAAGCATTCAAACCGAGCAAGCAGTTGTAAATGCGCTGGTCACGGTCCGTGGGAGAACCTTCGACCAGACTGGCCGCCGCAGCCAGATATGTGTCTCCGTGAGACATAGCCAGCATGGAGTGTCGAGCGAGGGTGTCCAGCTGTTGCAGGGTACCTTGCGGTACCGTGGCAACCGGTGGGGCACGGACCCCCAAACGCTCCACATGGGCTTCCGCAGAAGGACCAGCCTCGGGAAAGGCAAGGTCATGAACTGGGAAAGACCCTTTTCTCCACGACGGGGGAGGTAACGGGAGACCCCGACCGGAGGCAGCCGTGAAGGCTTTCTCCAAAGACGGCTTAATCCCGCGCAGCAAGGTTGATGCCGGGAAAGCCTTGTCGGACGACTCGTCGTATACCTCGGAGGAACCCACGGAACCGTGGATACCCCGCGGTATCGGCAGGGGCTTTGGCATGTCCTCGAAAAGGTCATACACCATGGCCACGCGGTCCTTAACCGATAGCGGAAGCAACGGTTCGGGGGAAGGACCGGTAACCACGGCAGCCGGCGCCGTACCGGTGGACCCCGCGTCCGAACCCGCGGCCACCGAAGAGGCCGGGGACGGAACAGCCAGCGGCCTATCTTGCGATAAGGCCGTCAGCTTGGAGTCCACAATTTGCGACAACAATGCGGCGACGGAAGCCCCAGACAGCCCGAGGGCCGCAAGGGGATCCGCCGCAGCCGACAAGGAGGTGCCCGCACGGGGGCCCCGACCGGACGAACCGGCCACCACAGGGGTGGAAACGGACTGCGCGCACAGCCGGTACCGCTCAAACTCCGCAGGTCCCAGACCTTCGCACAGGGTGCACCGGGTTTCCTCGCAAGGAACCCTGCACCGCGGGCAACGATCGTGGGGATCCCGGGACGACAAAAACTTTCTGCACACCCCACAACTCCGAGGAGCAGGGGTAGAGGGGGTGGAGACAGGGGACATATCCATGTCAGACATTGATTGTTTTCTAGAAACAAAGAACAAAACATGGTTACAACGCACGCACCGCAATGATTCACAAACGAACATTTTCACAAGAAAATAAACGAGCAATGTGAACATATAACATACACATATAACTTTTACTAAAGAAATAAGTTATGTTAACCCCCAAAACATACAAGAACAGGGGAAACGTAAAACACAACGTGCATACGCGAACCCCGCAAGTATATAGAAAAAAGGGCGGGAAAAATTTTCCGTTTGGCGGGAAAATTATAACCAAGCGTAGCTACCGCAACGCCCCATAAAAGCACAGTTTATTAGAGAATAAACGATAATAAATATCACCAAATCTTCAAGGAACGCTTCAGCAGGAGAAAACACGTCTTGCTAAGCAGACGAAGGAGACAAGAGTGAAGGGTGTCACATGGCAGCTAGGTGGCTACGCACGTGCTGCATGAGGTAATTGAGATCTCTGTGGTAGATTTCGCTATAGCAGCAGTTGTGGGAGACAACAGCCTCGGTATAACAGTGGTAACGTATTACTTAATGTAATTAAACTGTATACTTGTAATACATATAACCTATAATGATGGCATCTATGGACTCCAGAATGTGAGTGGGTTATCTCCCTTACCTTGATCTGACTGATCTGTTTTGCACAGGAAGATTCCAACTGTTGAACGATCCCGCACAGCTTGGCAACAACGCCCCTCGGTGTGGCCTCCGCAGCCTTGAAGTAATCTTCATACAACTCTCGAGCTAAACTCTTCACCTAGTGGGCAGAGGAAGACACATTCTAAGGGATTATCATTGTTTTCATTGAAATCAGTAAGCCTGGTTTACAAGCACACATATACCTCCGGGGCAAAATGTACCCTGAGGGGTCAATTTGTCATATAAACATGTTCTTTAAAATTGACCCCAGGGGTTAAACACCCCACCTCGATAGGTGGGGCAAAGTAGTGCATCTGAACTCCTCCCATGATGCAAGAAGGGTTAAAGAAACAAATTGTTGTAAACATCTTAATGTGATAATATTTTCTCAACATGCAAAGAGGCTTTGACTTCAAGGAGGTGATATAGGATGTTACAAGACTTCTTCAAATGTCGCCCACCTTCGACCTAATGGCGTCTACTTTTGATCTTAGTTTCTTGCTCTTCTTGCCTCCCCAGCCCACGGCAAACTCGGGTCCGAGTGACGTCTCCGCAGTGAATGAATGTTTGGTGCCGCGATTTGACTCAAAGATGAACCCAGGAAGATCTTCTCGTAATATTGTGGCCTGAAAAAAAAAAAGATTTTTGATACGAGCACATTCCAGAAACAAGAATCGGACCAAGACAGCGGTATATACATACATGACAATTTCCAAACAGATTGTTCATAATTAAATGTATGTCAAACTGATTTCAACAAATTGAATCAAAATTGTTACACAAACACAACAGAAACTAACCAACATCAGTACATAATGAACAATATTTGGAAATCAACCTTCATTGTCAGCAGCTCAATCCGTACATGCCACAACGAATGGTTCAACTCAGCTCACCTACTGTCTCCACAGCACATTGATAGCTCCCTTACCCTAGTGGTACATTTAGTAATTCTGACCATCGTCCCCTACCCACCGTCTCCACAGCACATTGATAGCTCCCTTCCCCTAGTGGTACATTTAGTAATTCTGACCATCATCCCTACCTACTGTCTCCACAGCACATTGATAGCTCCCTTCCCCTAGTGGTACATTTAGTAATTCTGACCATCGTCCCCTACCTACTGTCTCCACAGCACATTGATAGCTCCCTTCCCCTAGTGGTACATTTAGTAATTCTGACCATCATCCCTACCTACTGTCTCCACAGCACATTGAAAGCTCCCTTCCCCTAGTGGTACATTTAGTAATTCTGACCATCGTCCCCTACCTACTGTCTCCACAGCACATTGAAAGCTCCCTTCCCCTAGTGGTACATTTAGTAATTCTGACCATCGTCCCCTACCTACTGTCTCCACAGCACATTGAAAGCTCCCTTCCCCTAGATGTACATTTAGTAATTCTGACCATTGTCCCCTATCTACTGTCTCCACTGCACATTGATAGCTCCCTTACCCTAGTGGTACATTTAGTAATTCTGACCATTGTCCCCTATCTACTGTCTCCACAGCACATTGAAAGCTCCCTTCCCCTAGAGGTACATTTAGTAATTCTGACCATTGTCCCCTATCTACTGTCTCCACTGCACATTGATAGCTCCCTTACCCTAGTGGTACATTTAGTACTTCTGATCATCGTCCCCTACCTACTGTCTCCACAGCACATTGAAAGCTCCCTTCCCCTAGTGGTACATTTAGTAATTCTGACCATTGTCCCCTATCTACTGTCTCCACAGCACATTGAAAGCTCCCTTCCCCTAGTGGTACATTTAGTAATTCTGACCATCGTCCCCTACCCACTGTCTCCACAGCACATTGAAAGCTCCCTTCCCCTAGTGGTACTATCTACTGTCTCCACAGCACACAGCGCCCCCTTGTGGCCACCTACCTGTTGGCCGTCTGAGTTGTGGATCTGGACCTCGCCCTCCTTCTTGCATGTGAGTGCCCAGTTCCCGACCACCAGCCGGGTGGCGCACTGGTGGGTCATGATAGGCTGGCTGGGGGTGCCCGCCTTGATCTGACTGCGAGCTCGCTGCAGCTTCTCTAGGAACTCCCCGCGGTTCTCTGTACACATGAACGATGTATTTTAGACACTTCAATTCATATTCCATCAGTTACCATAGTAACAATATACTCCACCTAGGGCACAACAAGACCTGTTTTAAAGATGCCTAACTCGAACACTGCAGTTATTAAAATCTGATAACATTTAACGAAAGAAGGACAAATGGACACCACCGTGCCCCACCCTCACCTGAGCTATCGGAGCCCCCCTCTGGGCTGCCACTGGAGTACATGGTGGCCAGTTTGCTGTCCAGGATGAAGCGGAACCAGCCGTTACTGCCGTTGGAGAGTTCCAGGGCGGCAGCGTCACTCCACAGGTAGAGGCAGTCGCGGCCGCGCACAATGCACCAGTCCCGCCAATGGTAGGGCTTCCCCTGCACGATCTCCCGGGCATCCTCCACCACGGCCTCTTCCTCCTCTTTGATGCAGAACTGAAGGCAAAAACACACAGCATCAACACAGATACACAACATGCACAACACATCAACACTCAGACACACAACACATCAACACAATACATCACAGACACATAGACACACAACACATCCACATCAACATCAACACTGTCTCTCCCCTAATATATCAAAATGAGCCCACTTCAAAGTCACTTTGGTCAATTTGAATGTACACTGTGGTTGTGAAACACACATCGGGGAACAATGTTCATGCAGGCGACTTACAGTACCGTAATCTTTGGAACTTTTAGCGGCTAAATCCTGTGAATTACAAAACCTTCTAAAATCATTATCTTTATCTTCAAAACCTGATGATTCACTGCATGTACCCTACCTTCTCATCCTTGGCTTTCACTACAGTCTCATCTTCCTCCGGCGCTGGACCGGCCAGTCCCAGGACACGGCCAAACAGTCCGAGGCGAGCGAAGTGTTCCAGGAAGGTGCTCTGTCCCTTCTGCATGAGGTCTTGTGTGATCTGCAGCACTGTGTAGTGACCATCGTCATCGTCCTGGACACAGATGTAGAGGGAGTGAAACGGTGCAGGGATACTGGCTGGGGGTAGGGATACAATCTGGGGGTAGGGATACAATCTGGGGGTGGGAATACAATCTGGGAGAGGGAATACAATCTCGGGGAGGGGGAGGATACACAGTTTGGGGGAGAGGATAAAGTCTGGGGGCAGGAATACAGTCTTGGGTGGGGATACAGTCTGGGGGATGGGATACAATCTGGGGGAGGGGGAGGATACACAGTTTGGAGGAGAGGATAAAGTCTGGGGGCAGGAATACAGTCTTGGGTGGGGATACAGTCTGGGGGATGGGATACAATCTGGGGGAGGGGGAGGATACACAGTTTGGAGGAGAGGATAAAGTCTGGGGGCAGGAATACAGTCTTGGGTGGGGATACAGTCTGGGGGATGGGATACAATCTGGGGGAGGGGGAGGATACACAGTTTGGAGGAGAGGATAAAGTCTGGGGGCAGGAATACAGTCTTGGGTGGGGATACAATCTGGGGGAGGGGGAGGGGACACAGTTTTGGAGAGAGGAAAAAGTCTGGGTGTAGGTATATAGTCTGGGGGCGAGGATACAGTTTGGAGGGAAACAGTCTTGGGGAGGCGAGGGGGTTTTAGAGTCTGGGGGAGGGGACACAGTGTTTGGGGAGTGGGGTTTACACTCTGGGTTGATACAGACGGGAGTGGGGGGGGAGACAGTCTTGGGTGCAGTTACAGTGTGGTGGCAGAGATACGTCTGGGGGCAGGGGTTCAGTCTGGGGCAGAGTTACAAATAATCCTCAATGAATTTAACCATTTTAGATCATGAGAATACATATTTGCAGTCATTTTATCTCCCTGTCAACCATATTTACTGTCAACTAGAAACAGTTTCTCTCTTGCTGATGGGGTCAGGACTTACCTCTGTGTCGAGGACGGTGGCCAGGACTTCAGTGAGCGATGAAGCAAAGTTGGGGGAGGTGAACTCCGGCCCACACATCTCGTCCAGCAAGGGGGCCCCCATATAGTGCAGCATCTTGCGGATCAGAGACAAGCTGGCTTTCCTGCAACAAACACATTGTTACACTTCATTACTACCTGAACAAATGGCATGTGCGCTACCTGACATGATCAGAGAATTGAAGTCCCCCACCTGCCTGAGACCAGTATGTAACTGTTAAATAATATCTCCCCCTACCTGACATATAGCTGTGGAAGAGTGTCCCCCCTACCTGACACATAGCTATGGACGAGTGTTCCCCCTACCTGACATATAGCTGTGGAAGAGTGTCCCCCCTACCTGACATATAGCTGTGGAATAGTGTCCCCCCTACCTGACATATAGCTGTGGAAGAGTGTCCCCCCTACCTGACATATAGCTATGGAAGAGTGTCCCCCACGTACCTGACATATACCTGTGGACGAGTGTTTCCCACGTACCTGACATATAGCTGTGGACGAGTGTTTCCCACGTACCTGACATATAGCTGTGGAATGGTGTCCCCCCTACCTGACATATAGCTGTGGAAGAGTGTCCCCCCCTACCTGACATATAGCTGTGGACGAGTGTCCCCCACGTACCTGACATATAGCTGTGGAAGAGTGTCCCCCCCTACCTGACATATAGCTGTGGACGAGTGTCCCCCACGTACCTGACATATAGCTGTGGACGAGTGTCCCCCCTACCTGACATATAGCTGTGGACGAGTGTCCCCCCTACCTGACATATAGCTGTGGATGAGTGTCCCCCTACCTGACACATAGCTGTGGAAGAGTGTCCCCCACTTACCTGACACATAGCTGTGGCAAGTGTCCCCCCTACCTGACATATAGCTATGGAAGAGTGTCCCCCACGTACCTGACATATAGCTGTGGCAAGTGTCCCCCCTACCTGACATATAGCTATGGAAGAGTGTCCCCCACGTACCTGACATATAGCTATGGCAAGTGTCCCCCTACCTGACATATAGCTGTGGAAGAGTGTCCCCCACGTACCTGACACATAGCTGTGGACGAGTGTCCCCCCTACCTGACATATAGCTGTGGCGAGTGTCCCCCCTACATGACACATAGCTGTGGCGAGTGTCCCCCCTACCTGACATATAGCTGTGGACGAGTGTCCCCCCTACCTGACATATAGCTGTGGCGAGTGTCCCCCCTACCTGACATATAGCTATGGATGAGTGTCCCCCCCTACCTGACATATAGCTGTGGACGAGTGTCCCCTACGTACCTGACATATAGCTGTGGATGAGTGTCCCCCTACCTGACATATAGCTATGGATGAGTGTCCCCCCCTACCTGACATATAGCTGTGGATGAGTGTCCCCCACGTACCTGACATATAGCTATGGAAGAGTGTCCCCCACGTACCTGACATATAGCTGTGGACGAGTGTCCCCGACGTACCTGACATATAGCTATGGAAGAGTGTCCCCCCTACCTGACATATAGCTATAGACGAGTGTCCCCCCTACCTGACACAAAGCTGTGGACGAGTGTCCCCCACATATAGCTATAGACGAGTGTCCCCCACGTACCTGACTGAGGCTAGCATGGAGCTGTGGAACACTTGTGTGAAGACAGGTAGCAGTCGTTGCACATATAGTGGCGCCACCTCAGGATCGCCCTTGGGCTCGGCCGAGTCGACTCGCTCCGATTCACTGTTCTCTTCCTTCTTCTCCTTCTCTCCTTCTGTTGTGGCCTGCGCGCCTTCTCGGTTCACGGGCACCATCCACTCACCTGTCAGACACAGCACAACACAGGATGTCATGATGGCAGACACTGAGCTCACTGATTATCAGGTTTACCTTATTCACTACACCCAGAAGTACACCCTGGAATACACCCAGAAGTACATCCAAGACCACAGCCGGGAGTACACCCAGAAGTACACCCCAGACCACGACCGTGGAGTACACCCCAGACCAAAGCCGGGAGTACACCCAGAAGTACATTCTAGACCACAGCCGGGAGTACACCCAGAAGTACACCCCAGACCACAGCTGGGAGTACACCCAGCAGTACACCCCAGACCACAGCCGGGAGTACACCCAGAAGTACACCCCAGACCACACCCAGAAGTACATCCCAGACCACAGCCGGGAGTACACCCAGAAGTACACCCCAGACCACAACCAGAAGTACATCCCAGACCACAGCCGGGAGTACACCAAGAAGTACACCCCAGACCACGACCAGAAGTACACCCCAGACCACAGCCGGGAGTACACCCAGAAGTACATTCTAGACCACAGCCGGATGTACACCCAGAAGTACATCCCAGACCACAGCCGGGAGTACACCCAGAAGAACATCCCAGACCACAGCCAGGAGTACACCCAGAAGTACATCCTAGACCACAGCCGGGAGTACAACCAGAAGTACACTCCAGACCACTACCGGGAGTACACCCAGAAGTACACCCCAGACCACAGCCGGGATTACACCCAGAAGAACATCCCAGACTACAGCCAGGAGTACAACCAGAAGTACATCCTAGACCACAGCCGGGAGTACACCCAGAAGAACATCCCAGACCACAGCCGGGAGTACACCCAGAAGTACATCCTAGACCACAGCCGGGAGTACACCCAGAAGTACATCCTAGACCACAGCCGGGAGTACACCCAGAAGAACATCCCAGACCACAGCCAGGAGTACACCCAGAAGTACATCCTAGACCACAGCCGGGAGTACACCCAGAAGTACATCCTAGACCACAGCCGGGATTACATCCAGAAGTACACTCCACACCACTACCGGGAGTACACCCAGAAGTACACCCCAGACCACAGCCGGGATTACACCCAGAAGAACATCCCAGACTACAGCCAGGAGTACAACCAGAAGTACATCCCAGACCACAGCCAGGAGTACAACCAGGAGTACAACCAGAAGTACATCCCAGACCACAGCCGGGAGTACACCCCAGACCACAGCCGGGATTACACCCAGAAGAACATCCCAGACTACAGCCAGGAGTACAACCAGAAGTACATCCCAGACCACAGCCGGGAGTACACCCAGAAGAACATCCCAGACCACAGCCAGGAGTACACCCAGAAGTACATCCTAGACCACAGCCGGGAGTACACCCAGAAGTACACTCCAGACACCTACCGGGAGTACACCCAGAAGTACACCCCAGACCACAGCCGGGATTACACCCAGAAGAACATCCCAGACTACAGCCAGGAGTACAACCAGAAGTACATCCTAGACCACAGCCGGGAGTACACCCCAGACCACAGCCGGGAGTACACCCAGAAGAACATCCCAGACCACAGCCAGGAGTACACCCAGAAGTACATCCTAGACCACAGCCGGGAGTACACCCAGAAGTACACTCCAGACCACTACCGGGAGTACACCCAGAAGTACACCCCAGACCACAGCCGGGATTACACCCAGAAGAACATCCCAGACTACAGCCAGGAGTACAACCAGAAGTACATCCTAGACCACAGCCGGGAGTACACCCAGAAGAACATCCCAGACCACAGCCAGGAGTACACCCAGAAGTACATCCCAGACCACAGCCAGGAGTACAACCAGAAGTACACTCCAGACCACTACCGGGAGTACACCCAGAAGTACACCCCAGACCACAGCCGGGATTACACCCAGAAGAACATCCCAGACTACAGCCAGGAGTACAACCAGAAGTACATCCTAGACCACAGCCGGGAGTACAACCAGAAGAACATCCCAGACCACAGCCAGGAGTACACCCAGAAGAACATCCTAGACCACAGCCGGGAGTACACCCAGAAGTACATCCTAGACCACAGCCGGGATTACACCCAGAAGTACACTCCAGACCACTACCGGGAGTACACCCAGAAGTACACCCCAGACCACAGCCGGGAGTACACCCAGAAGTACAACCTAGACCACAGCCGGGAGTACACCCAGAAGTACATCCCAGACCACAGCCAGGAGTACACCCAGAAGTACAACCTAGACCACAGCCCGGAGTACACCCAGAAGTACATCCTAGACCACAGCCGGGAGTACACCCAGAAGAACATCCCAGACCACAGCCAGGAGTACACCCAGAAGTACATCCTAGACCACAGCCGGGAGTACACCCAGAAGTACATCCTAGACCACAGCCGGGATTACACCCAGAAGTACACTCCAGACCACTACCGGGAGTACACCCAGAAGTACACCCCAGACCACAGCCGGGAGTACACCCAGAAGTACAACCTAGACCACAGCCCGGAGTACACCCAGAAGTACATCCCAGACCACAGCCAGGAGTACACCCAGAAGTACAACCTAGACCACAGCCCGGAGTACACCCAGAAGTACATCCCAGACCACAGCCGGGAGTACAGCCGGGAGTACAGCCGGGAGTACAGCCGGGAGTACACCCAGAAGTACAACCAAGATGTGGCTGCTGACCGACTCACCTGGCGACTGCAGGATCTGGATGACCTCCCTGTGACCCTCGTCCCCCCTCTCACGAGCCTTGTCCAGCGGGGTCTTGCTGTCTTCATCACGCAGGTCGGGATTGGCTCCATACCGCAACAGCGTCTACAGGACAAGTGGGACATTGTATGCATGAGAGTTTGTTGTTGTTTAACGCCTCACTCAGAAACATATCAGCTACATGACGGTGGCCTGTAAATAATGAAGTCTGGACCAGACAATCCAGTGATTTGTATTATGTGCTACTACTGAAACTAGCAATGGGGTGCTGGAGACACAGTCTACCCCAGGTCCCCATTGAACACACCTCAGCATGCTATCGACTGGTGGACGATCTACCTAGTTGCCACTGACAACCAACACTGGGACACCCAACCCAGCCTGAAGTAATCAAATGGTGATCTTACTTTGACAATCTGTGGTCTGCCAAAACAGGCTGCATAATGGAGAGAGGAGGAGCGTAGGCCTCGGTTGACATCGGCTCCTCGTTCACACAGGAACTCCACCTGAACAGAAACACAAGCAGTCAACACAGAGAAAGGGGAGCTAGGTCTAGATGTATAAGGGATATTGCAGTACGATGCATGGCCTATGTCAGTAACACATTGTGCAAGACACTAGGGCTGTTACAATTCACTCGTGTATTCGGTGAATCAAACCGTATCCCTTCATGAATTGAATTCGTTATTTGGGGTAACTGAAATCGAATATTTATGAATATTTGATTGGTTGGTTGGTTTGTTGTTTAACGCCGGACTCAGCAATATTCCAGCTATATGACGGCGGTCTGTAAATAATCAAGTCTGGACCAGACAATCCAGTGATTGACATCATGAGCATCGATCCACGCAATTCAGATCGATGACATGCATCAACCAAGTCAGCGAGCCTGATCAACCAATCCCGTTAGTTGCCTCTTACGACAAGCATAGTCACGATTTACGGCAAGCATGGGTTGCTGAAGACCTATTCTACCCCGTATCTTCACGGGTCTATTTATGAATATGCAATTTACATACCCTGTACCTAAAAATATCCATAAGAACATGTTATATGCATAGATTTCTTCAAAGACAACTCTTATAATATTTAACTTGACAGTATGGTGGTCATTGGTCATTGTCACATTTGAGCAGATACTACCTGGGTAAGTGCGGTATATAAATGTATAATAAATGATGTCAAATAATTATGTGGTTAATGTTTCACTGAATATAACAAGTAATACTTCAGCTACTGTTTTGTTATTGTATTTCGTGAATTAATATTCGTATTTGTAACCCTATATCCGTGATATGAATCATATTCGCCTCAGTGTATTCGTTGCAGCCCTACAAGACACCCACCATTTCTTGGGTTCCGAATGCAGAGGCCCAGTTGAGGAGAGTCTGTCCCACGTCATCCATGAAGTTGACTTCAAAACCTGGAGATGGAAACACAGAGGTCAGTGACACGGAATCATACCTCCACTGGATCACTGCCATGCTTCTTGAACCAATCCTATTACCAAAGTGAACACTTATTACCTCCCTTAGTACCTTCTGGCAGTGAATATCTGATAGTTTAATCCTGTCAAGGAGAAATCTTCCACAGTGAGTGAGTGAATGCTACTTCATCATGTACATGCAACTTTTATTTGTGGTATCTAATTTCTATGATGATGATGATGATGATGATGATGATGATGATGATGAACAGCCACCAAAACTGGATCTTGGTTTCCTTTGGACACACTTACCAACCAGCAATCATTTGACACAAACTGATCATGTTCCTGGTTCAAGAGTCTGAACATTTCAAAAAGGGTTTACAGCTGAGACTTGATTTACCAGTGACAGAGCTCTCGGTACATCTTACCATTATCTATCGCGTCTATGAGAGCGTCAGTGTCCTTGCTTCGTATACAGTCAATGAGCTGGCGGTGTGACCTCTCTCCGGCACTGTCTGTGCGCCTCAGCCCCGGCAGGCGACTTGTGATGCTACACACGCCCGTCTTGGGCAGCGCCTTCCTCCCCTCGAACAGCAGCACCAGCAGCAGGTCCACCAGCCTCATCGTGTCCAGGCAGCATCTGCAACACAACGCATCCAACATGGAACAGAGAAGTACTTTCAAATTTTAGATACCTAGTATTATTTATATTTGCTGCATAGCAACAAAATATTAACTTACTTCACTGGTAACACATCCATTGAATGACCTGAGTTAGCAAGGGCAGATCCAGCATTTTTAAAAGGGAGGGGTCCAAAATATGAAAATCCTCTCTCAGATAATGTTACTGCCTACAACATTCTATATTTGGTTTTCCGGTCAGTTCCCGACTCCCTGGACCCCCCCCTCCCCCTCTGGATCCGCCCAGGGTTAATACATGTCAAGTTACTGCAGATCATAATTATGGCAAACCTGTGAGTGCCCGTGGCCCCCCGTGGCCCCCCGTGACCCCATGTCACCCTACCCAACCCCTACCATTTCATTTGCTTTTACTCGTCTAAGATCTACAAGCTTTGGGCTAAGGGGAAAGCGTCAGACCCTGCAATGTATATAAATGCAGTTTCACATAAATAAGGTGTACCCAAAGTTCTGTTACCATGGTTACCAAGACAATAGGACATCTCTCTCTACATGAAACAGATACCAAGTTGATCCTCCTGTAATACCTGCTTAACCTTTTCTTATGTTAGACTTAAAGAGTTTCACGAAGTTCTCATCATTTGGTTCACCAGAGTTGCCTCCAATCCACCCCCGATGTAGTAAATGTATACAAACACTGAGACTAATGTTATTGATCACTGACAGCATGTAATTAAATCAATAGCAGAGAAAGTAAGGGCAGATTAGGAACATTAATCATTCATAAGATGGCACGCCCAGTGACACACAAGCTATGGTTTCCTTGGGGTCGGTGGAAGGTCGCCTGCAGTCTTGATACACCTGCACTGCCGGCCAGATACACCTGAACTGCCAACCCGATACACCTGCACTGCCGGCCCGATACACCTGCACTGCCGGCCCGATACACCTGCACTGCCGGCCTTTACTCCGAAAACAGGCTTGAATTAGTCCACCTAGTTATCACCTCAGCTTCAGGCTTGAACTTGGACTGAAGCCACCGACTACATTAACATATTGGTAGCCCCACGCATGTAGTAAATGTGTTGTCGCCTTGGGTAAGTGAGTTTGTTGGAAATAGGCCTCCGTTTACCCAGCAGTGAAAGGGTACCCAGTAGGATGAGATGGTCATGTGACTTCTAACCTTCCAGTGCCTCGCGGGCAGTTTGGGTGCTCAGCAAGAATATCAAGGGCACTGATACACTGACCGGGATAAGGATAATGTAGCACTTTGAGATTGCCCCTGAGTTGTGTGGAATTAAGGCGCAATATTATTATTATTATTATTATTATTATTATTATTATTATTATTATTATTATTACCATTCACTGATCCACCAAAAGGTTTCCTTGTCATGATTTTGTTTCCAAATTCCTTTCCACTGTAAGCTATAAATAACTTTGTGCAATTAATGAGCCAGTGTCCGGCCTACACCAGACTAATGGCTGTCAGCAGGGGACATAATTAGAAGATTAATGTCTCCAGGACCACCCCACCATGCGTCCTGTAGTTGCCAGGTTGTTCAGGGTTCAGGTACCGCGACATGCATCTGATGACGTTTGAGAGGCAAACCACAGTCAGTCTACACAACGCCCCATCTACATGTTAAATTGTCCAGGTGAAGTACTCCAAGGCAGCACCCCGAATTCCACCACCGACGCCCTGATCTCCTCCTTACTCCTCCTGACACCTTCACACCCTTGGTAGTCCCTCCCCGACACCTCCTCTTCTCCCTATTCCCTCCGACACCCTGATCGCCTCTCTACTCCTCCTGACACCTTCACACCCTTGATAGTCCCTCCCCAACACCTCCTCTTCTCCCTATTCCCTCCGACACCCTGATCGCCTCTCTACTCCTCCTGACACCTTCACACCCTTGATAGTCCCTCCCCGACACCTCCTCTTCTCCCTATTCCCTCCGACACCCTGATCGCCTCTCTACTCCTCCTGACACCTTCACACCCTTGATAGTCCCTCCCCGACACCTCCTCTTCTCCCTATTCCCTCCGACACCCTGATCGCCTCTCTACTCCTCCTGACACCTTCACACCCTTGATAGTCCCTCCCCGACACCTCCTCTTCTCCCTATTCCCTCCGACACCCTGATCTCCTCTCTACTCCTCCTGACACCTTCACACCCACGCTGGTCCCTCCCTCACACCTCCTCTTCTCCCTATTCCCTCCGACACCCTGATCGCCTCTCTACTCCTCCTGACACCTTCACACCCTTGATAGTCCCTCCCCGACACCTCCTCTTCTCCCTATTCCCTCCGACACCCTGATCTCCTCTCTACTCCTCCTGACACCTTCACACCCTCGCTAGTCCCTCCCCGACATCCTGATCTCTGTTCTACTCCCTCTGTCGACACCCTGCTCACCTCTCATCCCCTCTTAGTCCACTCTCCACTGCTTCCGGCAACTCTGAGCGCAGCAGGTCGTGGGTGATGACAGGAGATCCTCGACACAGTGTAGACAGGAGACTGATGACAGTTGACATGCTGGGACTGGACTTGGACTCGGCGGCCATGTTAGCCGTCCCCGGGGTACTGGTGAGGGAGACGTTGTGCCCCGCCTCCCCCACGCGGTGCAGGCGTTGCAGGAGCTCCTGGATCAGACCATGCTTGGCCAGGGGGGCAGGGTCAATTCCACGTCGGGTGAATCTGTCAGCCAGTGAGGCAAAGCAGCGAAGCGCTCCATCAGCAACCTGTAAAACACAACCTCACGTCAGTTAAGACAATATATTTTATGGATGACAACTTCTTTATTCTATTATGATGTGATGTTTCAGTATAGATCCTTTTACCGTTGTCAAGCAAGAGTGACAATCTCACATCACTTGATAAACACACATGATGATGGGGAGACTACTCACGTATGGTTCATCATGTATGATATATAACTGGAAGAGGAGAATACTCATATATTGTTCACCATATGATGTACACATGTAAGGGGAGACTACTCACGCATGGTTCATCATGTATGATATATAACTGGAAGAGGAGAATACTCATGTATTGTTCACCATATGATGTACACATGTAAGGGGAGACTACTCACGTATGGTTCATCATGTATGATATATAACTGGAAGAGGAGAATACTCATGTATTGTTCACCATATGATGTACACATGTAAGGGGAGATTATTCACGTATTGGTCACTTTGAGACATACAGGTGTAAGGGGAGACTACTCATGTATCGTTCACTTTGTAACGTACAGATGTAAGGGGAGACTACTCACTGTGTGATGTACAGTGGTCACCTGTCACAATTTGGAGTTTTGACTGGTGGCAGCGATCGTATATAGAGAGCTCCGCAAATGGAATATCTCTGAGGAGCTTGGATGTACAGATGTAAGGGGAGGCTACTCACGTATTGGTCGTCGTGCTCCAGCAGGGTAGACAGAGACTCCACACACGTCTCCTGCGAGGTGTCCTGCGGCTCCATCTTGCCACACAGCCGGGACACGACGGACATGGCGGAGTGGAGGGTGTCCTTGTGTACCTGGGAGCCATGCTCACGGATGAAGGTCAGGACACAGTTCAGCCCGCCAGACTCGAACACCGCACCCGACTCTCGAGTACAGATCAACTCCAGGACCTGCACACACAAGTAAACAACATCTCATTAATTAAGTATAAAAGTTAAATGTCATCATCCTAGGTTTCAGATTGGATCAAATTCTTGGACTCAGTCACAAAAAATTCCTAAAAGTTCAATCAAAATTTGCAATGATGTGGAACAATTTCCTCCCAAAAGAAGTGATAAAATCATGAAGAGAATGTCCTTGCCATATATTCCCAGTAAAATCACTGTTACCATATCGTTAAATAAAATGTGAACAAAAGTTCACAAGACCCACATGAAATTAAACCCTGCTGTTAAATCTTAGGCAAATTTGCACTGGAATTTGTAAAAATATTTGAAAATATATATAGTCTTTGGGGGTCACTCTGACCTTATTATGATCCCCTTGACCTGAAGAACAACATCCTTACGGTCTCTAAAAAACATCCTTACTGGCTCCAAACAACATCCTTACTGTCTCTAAAAAACATCCTTACTGTCTCTAAACAACATCCTTACGGCTCCAAACAACACCCTTACTTTCACCAAACAACATCCTTACTGGCTCCAAACAACATCCTTACTGTCTCCAAACAACATCCTTACTGTCTTTAAACAACATCCTTACTGGCTCCAAACAACATCCTTACTGCCTCTAAACAACATCCTTACTGTCTCTAAACAACATCCTTACTGGCTCCAAACAACATCCTTACTGTCTCCAAACAGCATCCTTACTATCTCCAAACAACACCCTTACTATCTCTAAACAACATCCTTACTATCACCAAACAACATCCTTACTGTCTCCAAACAACATCCTTACTATCTCCAAACAACACCCTTACTGTCTCCAAACAACATCCTTACTATCTCCAAACAACACCCTTACTTTCACCAAACAACATCCTTACTGTCTCTAAACAACATCCTTACTATCACCAAACAACATCCTTACTGTCTCCAAACAACATCCTTACTATATCTAAACAACATCCTTACTATATCTAAACAACATCCTTACTGGCTCCAAACAACATCCTTACTATCACCAAACAACATCCTTACTATCACCAAACAACATCCTTACTATCACCAAACAACATCCTTACTATATCTAAACAACATCTGGTTCAAATGTAGGCATTACTGTCAAGGACTGTAATTCTAAAACTAGATGAATTTAGACACGGTCATGTTGTGAGGAATATTGGTTGAGATCTGTCACGCGTGGAAGGAAGGCAGAGTCTACGTACTTTGATACACTGCTATATGAATATGGTTGTGATCTGTCACATGTGGAAGGAAGGCAGAGTCTACGTACTTTGATACACTGCTATATGAATATGGTTGTGATCTGTCACATGTGGAAGGAAGGCAGAGTCTACGTACTTTGATACACTGCTATATGAATATGGTTGTGATCTGTCACATGTGGAAGGAAGGCAGAGTCTACGTACTTTGATACACTGCTATATGAATATGGTTGTGATCTGTCACATGTGGAAGGAAGGCAGAGTCTACGTACTTTGATACACTGCTATGTGAATATGGTTGTGATCTGTCACACGTGGAAGGAAGGCAGAGTCTACGTACTTTGATACACTGCTATATGAATATGGTTGTGATCTGTCACATGTGGAAGGAAGGCAGAGTCTACGTACTTTGATACACTGCTATGTGAATATGGTTGTGATCTGTCACACGTGGAAGGAAGGCAGAGTCTACGTACTTTGATACACTGCTATATGAATATGGTTGTGATCTGTCACATGTGGAAGGAAGGCAGAGTCTACGTACTTTGATACACTGCTATATGAATATGGTTGAGATCTGTCACATGTGGAAGGAAGGCAGAGTCTACGTACTTTGATACACTGCTATATGAATATGGTTGTGATCTGTCACACGTGGAAGGAAGGCAGAGTCTACGTACTTTGATACACTGCTATATGATTATGGTTGTGATCTGTCACATGTGGAAGGAAGGCAGAGTCTACGTACTTTGATACACTGCTATATGAATATGGTTGTCATCTGTCACACGTGGAAGGAAGGCAGAGTCTACGTACTTTGATACACTGCTATATGAATATGGTTGAGATCTGTCACATGTGGAAGGAAGGCAGAGTCTACGTACTTTGATACACTGCTATATGATTATGGTTGTGATCTGTCACATGTGGAAGGAAGGCAGAGTCTACGTACTTTGATACACTGCTATATGAATATGGTTGAGATCTGTCACATGTGGAAGGAAGGCAGAGTCTACGTACTTTGATACACTGCTATATGATTATGGTTGTGATCTGTCACATGTGGAAGGAAGGCAGAGTCTACGTACTTTGATACACTGCTATATGAATATGGTTGTCATCTGTCACACGTGGAAGGAAGGCAGAGTCTACGTACTTTGATACACTGCTATATGAATATGGTTGAGATCTGTCACATGTGGAAGGAAGGCAGAGTCTACGTACTTTGATACACTGCTATATGATTATGGTTGTGATCTGTCACATGTGGAAGGAAGGCAGAGTCTACGTACTTTGATACACTGCTCGGCCAGGTCTTTGCTGGTGCGGGAGGACATCTCGGCGACAACCAGCCGGTTGCACAGAGCCTTGATGGCGCCATCTACAGCCACGATTCTGCGAGTGCACTCAGCGGAGACGTCCAGGTAGTAGGTGATGGCACGGGCCGTCACTTCCAGCACGTTGTCTGGGGCACACTCGTCCAGGAAGATGCGGCACAGAGCTGGTAGGAAGGTGCGTGGAGGGCAGCTGGAAGACAACACACGGGTCAGACGTACGGCAAGATTGGGAAACAGAGGCAAAGAAAAGCACAGATCATGTCTAGAGGTGTAACGATACGGGAGGGTCGCGATACGATACGTATCCCGATACAGGGGTCGCGATACAATACGTATCGCGATACAGTGTTTACTGGTACAAGCTAAGCCAAGTTGATGTCTTTCTGCTATCTAAAAGATGTGACAAATACAGTTGAAGAAGATATAAGGTGTTTATTTACTGTTATAGCAAATCGTTAGCAATACAGTATGTTTTACTGAAACAACAAAATGGCTTTGAAACTGTTAAAGTATTTCATGGGCGCACCCCCCCCCCCCCCCCCCCACCCTTTTTTTATTTCGAAAAAAATCTTTATTTCTGTATAAATTACCACCAAAGACAATAAATAGATCTTAATTGTGCACCCCCCTTTTCAAAAAAGCTGTATCCCCCCATGTATTTCATCCATTTTCTTGAGTATAGTGCGCACCGATGTATAATGCGCACGCCCCTCTAGCGGGTTCAATATTTTGAAAAAAAAGAAATTTGAATATTATGCGCAAAAAAAAAATTACACCGTACCCCTTCAGCGAAGTCCGGCAAACGAACGGGTGATGAGAAACTTCGTCAGTACAAATTCGAAGTTTGAGATAAAAAATCACCAGACATGTTGATTTACCGTTTAAATTGTATTTTTTGTTCAGCTAGGCATTGTTTTATATCCAGGGATTAAGATTACCTTGTGTATTTTCTCGTAAAATTAGCCGGACACAGCAATCAGCTGTACACACGTTTTCTTGGAATCTACCAGTGATTCGGTAGACACCCAATGATATAACTTTACAGTATTTTAATGCAAGGATCAGCTGTACATGTTGTATCTGAAACTATTTTTTGATCAGGAATAATATATTCCAATATATTGTTAATTTAGATGCAGCTTTTACTAAACATATTTAAAATAATAATAACCCTAAGTGAAGCAGCTGATCGCTATTGCCGGGTATTATTTTTTACATGGAACCAGTCTGACCAGTCACCGTCAAGGCTCCCGTGCACGTGATCGCGTGATCGCGAGAATTACGTGTTGACATAGAATCGTCCAACAAAAACAAATCTCGCTTTTAACGAATCAAAGTATGGCATTTATGATATATGTATCCATTCTCTGTCAACTAAAATTCCTTTCAAGGCGTCAATAGCGGTAATCTGACCGTGGTTGCTGTTAATAACGGTGAGTTGTGCGATCTTCCGATCGCTTCACACACTCATTAATTCGTGTATAATGCGCAACCCCTTCTACACAGCTGTGTTGTTTTTTTTTTAAAAAGTGCGCACTATACTCAAGAAAATACGGTAGGTATAACTGTGTTATGAAAATATCGTATGTATCGCGATACATGCTTTCCAAATCGATGCATCGTATCGTGGGCTGTGCATCGGGATACAATACTGTATCGCCGTATCGTTACACCACTAATCATGTCAGTATAGACATACTTCAGGTGTAGCTCAGATCATGTCAGTAAGGACACACTTCAAGTGTAGGTCAGATCATGTCAGTAAGGACACATTTCAAGTGTAGGTCAGATCATGTCAGTAAGGACACACTTCAAGTGTAGCTCAGATCATGTCAGTAAGGACACACTTCAAGTGTAGCTCAGATCATGTCAGTAAGGACACATTTCAAGTGTAGGTCAGATCATGTCAGTAAGGACACATTTCAAGTGTAGCTCAGATCATGTCAGTAAGGACACACTTCAAGTGTAGCTCAGATCATGTCAGTAAGGACACATTTCAAGTGTAGGTCAGATCATGTCAGTAAGGACACATTTCAAGTGTAGGTCAGATCATGTCAGTAAGGACACACTTCAAGTGTAGCTCAGATCATGTCAGTAAGGACACACTTCAAGTGTAGGTCAGATCATGTCAGTAAGGACACATTTCAAGTGTAGGTCAGATCATGTCAGTAAGGACACATTTCAAGTGTAGGTCAGATCATGTCAGTAAGGACACCCTTCAAGTGTAGGTCAGATCATGTCAGTAAGGACACACTTCAAGTGTAGCTCAGATCATGTCAGTAAGGACACACTTCAAGTGTAGGTCAGATCATGTCAGTAAGGACACATTTCAAGTGTAGGTCAGATCATGTCAGTAAGGACACACTTCAAGTGTAGGTCAGATCATGTCAGTAAGGACACATTTCAAGTGTAGGTCAGATCATGTCAGTAAGGACACATTTCAAGTGTAGGTCAGATCATGTCAGTAAGGACACATTTCAAGTGTAGGTCAGATCATGTCAGTAAGGACACACTTCAAGTGTAGCTCAAAATTTGAATGAGCCACTGCTTGTTCTATGGGGGCAATACTTCTCACAGTGAAAGAGGCGAGTCCAATACATGTAGGCAGTGTTAGAAAATTGGCAATAGTCCTATAGCATGTGTGCCCAATAGTCAAGGTATCATAAGGACTAGAAGAAATTTACCTTTTTTAAGGGGTTTGCCATATGTTATCATTATAAGGACTAGTGGACTAAAACTGTTACTTTCTATCGCTGGAAGGTCATAGACTAGGGAGAGTCGAGGCTAATAGTCTGCTGGTTTCTCAGAAAATCTAGTCAACTTTTTATAAACCACCAATGAGTTGCGGACTAGTTGGATATGACCAAAGGTGTCTACTACACCTGTAGATGTGTACGGGACACTTCAGTGAAATCAGAGCTCATATACGCTACAGTATACTTGACAATTGACTTCACAAGGACTGGATTGACCAAAGCTGACAAACTCCTCTGTCAGTAGGACTGCAGCAGCAGCACCGTGAGGGATACGCCATGTTCCTACACCACATCCGGAGATACCCATCATAACACACCATATCCACTGATACCCATCATAACACACCATATCCACTGATACCCATCATAACACACCACATCCACTGATACCCATCATAACACACCACATCCACTGATACCCATCATAACACACCACATCCACTGATACCCATCATAACACACCATTTCCACTGATACCCATCATAACACACCACATCCACTGATACCCATCATAACACACCACATCCACTGATACCCATCATAACACACCACATCCACTGATACCCATCATAACACACCACATCCAGAGATACCCATCATAACACACCACATCCACTGATACCCATCATAACACACCACATCCACTGATACCCATCATAACACACCACATCAGGGGATACCCATCATAACACACCACATCCACTGATACCCATCATAACACACCACATCCGCTGATACCCATCATAACACACCACATCGGGGGATACCCATCATAACACACCACATCCACTGATACCCATCATAACACACCACATCCTGAGATACCCATCATAACACACCACATCAACTGATACCCATCATAACACATCACATCAGGGGATACCCATCATAACACACCACATCCGGAGATACCCATCATAACACACCACATCCGGAGATACCCATCATAACACACCACATCCACTGATACCCATCATAACACACCACATCCACTGATACCCATCATAACACATCACATCCACTGATACCCATCATAACACACCACATCCACTGATACCCATCATAACACACCACATCCACTGATACCCATCATAACACACCACATCCGGAGATACCCATCATAACACACAACATCCACTGATACCCATCATAACACACCACATCCACTGATACCCATCATAACACACCACATCAGGGGATACCCATCATAACACACCACATCCGGAGATACCCATCATAACACACCACATCCAGAGATACCCATCATAACACACCACATCCACTGATACCCATCATAACACACCACATCCACTGATACCCATCATTACACACCACATCCACTGATACCCATCATAACACACCACATCAGGGGATACCCATCATAACACACCACATCCACTGATACCCATCATAACACACCACATCCACTGATACCCATCATAACACACCACATCAGGGGATACCCATCATAACACACCACATCCACTGATACCCATCATAACACACCACATCCACTGATACCCATCATAACACACCACATCCACTGATACCCATCATAACATACCACATCAGGAGATACCCATCATAACACATCACATCCACTGATACCCATCATAACACACATCAGGAGATACCCATCATAACACATCACATCAGGGGATACCCATCATAACACACCACATCAGGGGATACCCATCATAACACACCACATCCGCTGATACCCATCATAACACACCACATCCACTGATACCCATCATAACACACCACTTCCACTGATACCCATCATAACACACCACATCCGGAGATACCCATCATAACACACCACATCCACTGATACCCATCATAACACACCACATCCGGAGATACCCATCATAAAACACCACATCTGGAGATACCCATCATAACACACCACATCCACTGATACCCATCATAACACACCACATCCGCTGATACCCATCATAACACACCACATCCACTGATACCCATTATAACACACCACATCCACTGATACCCATCATAACACACCACATCCACTGATACCCATCATAACACACCACATCCGGAGATACCCATCATAACACACCACATCAGGGGATACCCATCATAACACATCACATCCACTGATACCCATCATAACACACCACATCCACTGATACCCATCATAACACACCACATCAGGGGATACCCATCATAACACACCACATCCACTGATACCCATCATAACACACCACATCCGCTGATACCCATCATAACACACCACATCAGGGGATACCCATCATAACACACCACATCCACTGATACCCATCATAACACACCACATCCACTGATACCCATCATAACACACCACATCCACTGATACCCATCATAACACACCACATCAGGAGATACCCATCATAACAATCCACATCCACTGATACCCATCATAACACACCAC